CCGTGCTATTTTGTGGAAGAGCCACACTCAAGGGGCCAAAGAGCTGCAGTTTGCCGACCACAGGGCTAGTGCATTATCCCTCACAGGCCTTCGCTCATTCCCAGCAGAGGCTGGCCTTGGCGGGGGGGGGGGGGGGGGGGGGGGGTCAGCCGGGACTGTCACAGGAAGGGACCCTGTCTGGAACCTCCAGTGTCCCCATCGAGGGGTCAGCCTTTAGCTAGAGGGAACTCTGCAGACTCTTCCAACTGACCCCCTGCCCTGGGGGAATGGCGTGGGGGTGCTGGGCCCCCCCGCCAGCCTGAGGTGGCCCATCCAGCAACCTGGAGTCCAGGTCTGAGGCTTGCCTGGGCTCAGTGCTGTGCAGCCAAGGAAAGAGAGAACATGGCACAGAGCTTCTGGGGTGGACTGGGCTGGCCAGGGAGCGCTCCCCTGAGGCGGTCATGTCCCCACTGCACCCCCAAACTCAGCCTGCCCCAGCTCAATGGGTGGTCTCCCTCCCAAACCGGGCCTCTCCCATGTCTCGGTCCTCTTTCTGCCAAGTGCTAAGGTCTGTGGCTTCCTCTCCTTGACCCACTCACTCCCTGTCTGTCACGTGCCCGACACTGTCCACAGCCCTGGGGTCAGAGGTCACAGCCTGCATGGCCCTGTTTGGCCCAGTCCCAGCCTTCTCCAGCCTCACACGCAGCTCCTTCTCATAGCCCCTACCTTCCCTGTCCTCCCATGCTGCCCCAGGACCTTTTCACATGCCATTCCGTATTGGGTCTGGCTAACGCCTACCCAGCCTCTGCCTCCTTCCTGCCCATGCCATCCAGAGTGCCCCCGATTCCCGCCGAGTCCAGATTCTGCTCCCAGGCCCAGAGGGCCAGGCTCAGGCCGCCCCCTCGGCTGTGCAGGCCTGAATACAGCCCACCTGGGTCGTTTGTTATTCTCTGCGCTCGGCCACAAGCAGCTGTTGCCGAGTGGGTTCCGGATTCGGTGCTAAAAATACCCAGTGACCTAGACAGGAAGGTGACCAACGGCCGCACAGCTGCCCAGGGAGGGGCCGACGGAAGCTGCACTGGAGGCCCCCCCGCAGTGGGGTTGGGGTCCGTGTGCCGGAAGGGAGTGGGCACAGAGCTCGCAGCCCCTGGAGGAAGGCCCTGCATAGAGAATGGTCAGAGCCGGCAAGCGGTGCCATGCGTTGTCCAAAGGAAAATGCAGCTGCCTCTAACATACACACAAAAATACCTGGTTCCTGATTCTTCTGGTTTGGTACCACGGGCATGTGTGCTGCCTTTGGAATAAGTGACATTTAGAAATTAAGTGTGAGGGCCTAACAGAAGATAGATGGGCTCTGGTCCCTTCCGGGAGGGCTTCCTGGAGTAGGAGGCATTTCTACCACCCTCCCTTGCTCTCCTCTTTTTTATTTTATTTTTAAAAATTAGGTTTATTCTCCTTTTTATTTAAAAAAATAAAAAAAACATTTTATTTTATATTTTGTTAATCCTCACCTGAGTATATTTTCCCCAATGATTTCTAGAGACAGTGGAAGGGAGGAGGAGAGACACAGAGAGAGAAACATCAATGTAAGAGAGACACATTGATTGGTTTCCTCCACATGCACCCCAATCAGGGCTGGGGATGGATCCTGCAACTGAGGTACATGCCATTAATCGGAATGGAACCCAGGATCCTTCAGACTGCAGGCCAACGCTCTATCCACTGAGCCAAACCAGCTAGGGCGATTTTATTAAAAAAAAAATATATATAAATATATATATATATATATATATATATATATATATATATATATATATATATTTTATTGATTTCAAGGAAGGAAGGGAGAGAGAGAAACATCATTGATCCGCTGCCTCCTGCTCTTCCCCCATTGGGAATCAAGCCCACAACCCAGGCAAGTGCCCTGACCAGGAATTGAACCGTGACCTCTTGGTTCATAAGTCGATGCTCAACCACTGAGCTATGCTGGCTGGGCTTGCTCTCCTCTTTTAACAGAACATGTAGGCTGATAGGAGGAAAATGAATGAATGAATGAATGAATGAGCCAGAGATCTGGGGCAGTCCCAGGAGCGAGAGGCTGAGGCCTGAATGAGAGGTGGTGGCGGCCATGAGGTGTGCCGGAGCGGGGAGGGGAGGGACTGGAGAGTTCCATGGGAGCATCAGCCTCGAGGTGGGGGTTTCCGGATGGTCACCGACTGGCGGGGGTCTCTCCTAGTGAGGCCAGTGAGGAGGAGGCAGGCTCGGTGGGCACTCGCGGGTGCTGTACTGCCTGTGGGCACTGGGCACCCTGGACAGGGGATCCAGGAATCCTCTGGGTGTCTCCAGACCTGGGGGTCCGGGGCCCCGTGCTCTGCAGCAGCAGGCGGGTTCCCGAGGCCAGAGAGGCAGCCTGGGAGCAGGCCCGCTGACACCTTGGCAGGGAAACACAGGCCTCCTCCCGCCACAGCCCTGAGCCCAGGAGAGGAGGCGGCCAGCGGGCAGGCTCAGGACAGACAGCTCAGTCAGCATCCCGCACTGCCTGCACCTCTAGCCCCTGGGAACATGTGGTCCCCAGGGCTCCTTTCCATAAATAACCGTCTAACGGTGCCAGAGGGTTGGAGAAGAAGGAGACCCGGTGTCCCCAGGCTTGCCTGTCTTGTCCAGGCCTGGAGACCGGACAGGAGAAGCCTGGATTGGACCCCAGGCCCTGCTCTGCCTCCTCCTGGGCCTCAGTTTCCCTACCCGAGGACATCCCAAAGCTCTGAGATGAGATCATCTGTGGTAGAACCAGCAGCTGCTCCCTAGACGTCTGGCCCAGCTGGCTGCCCCCACCCTGGGCTCCAGGAATGCATCTCTCCACCCCCAAACGGGGCGCCTGCCTTATCAGCCCCGTCTGGGGAGAGACAGACCCCCCTGTTGGTTGTGACAGCCCCTTCTGTTAGCCCCAGCCTGACCCCGAGTGAGCGGAGGGCCAGCCAGCGCCTGCCGAGTGCCTGGAGGCAGGAATGCCTCCCCTTCCCCAGCAGATGAGAAACCTGACCTCCCTCGCTGGCTCCCTCCTGACAGGGAGGTGCCCGCCCTGGCGTCAGAGGCCCTGGATCCCCGCCCTGCTGCCATGCCTCCTCCTCTGTCCAGCCCCCTCGAACATGACCTTGGCCTGCTTCGCTGGACCATGGAGGCTGACTGAGGGGGGTGGGGGTGGGGCGGGGGGACGGGCTCTCAGCCCCTTCCTTGGTCCCATTCCTGCTGTATCAGGCCGGCTCTCTTCACTGCTGAACCAAATGAACCTCTCCCTTCTGTGCTCCCAGCGTGTCCTCCGGAGCGGAAGGAGGGGGGGAGGGGGGGCTGCCTGAGCCACGCTGCAGGGGTCCCTCCACTTGGGATCCACCTGCATCCCGTTGTCCCTGGATTTTTCCCTGCGTTGCTTCCGAAGCCCTTTCCTGGCGGGGCTCTTGCCCACCCCCACACTCCCAGCCTCCCCTAGCCTCCCTCCCAGCTGGGTCTGCCTTTCTCTCTGTCCAGGCCCGGACTTTCTCCTCTCAGTCTGGCCGTGCCCCTTGGACATTTCCCACGGGCCCAGGGCTACACGCGCCATCGATGTTCTGATGAGTAACACCCACGTCTGGGTCCCTTGCCGGACCTCTTCCCCAACACCACACTTGGATTTTTCCTGGATGTCACACAAGCTCAACAAGGCCAGAACAGATCTCCATTTACCTGCTAGTGGACCCATTTGGTGCTCAATAAACAGTGGACTTTCTTAAAAAAAAGAAAAGGAAAAAAAAGAAAAGAAGAAAAGAAAGAAGGAAGGAAGGAAGGAAGGAAGGAAGGAAGGAAGGAAGGAAGGAAGGAAGGAAGGAAGGGAGAAAGAAAGAAAGGAAGAAAGATACTTAAGCTGAAACGGGTTGGCTCAGTGGATAGAGCTTCGGCCTGCGGACTGAAAGGTCCCGGGTTCGATTCCGGTCAAAGGCATGTATTTGGTTGCGAGCACATCCCCGGTGGCGGGTGTGCAGGAGGCAGCTGGTCGATGTTTCTCTATCATCGTTTCTAGCTCTCTCTCCCTCTCCCTTCCTCTCTGTAAAAAGTTAATTAAAAAAAAAATATTTAAAAAAAGTTAAAAAATATTTTTATTGATTTCAGAGAGGAAGGGAAAGGGAGAGATAGAAACATTAGTGATGAGAATCATTGATTGGTTGCCTCCTGCACGCCCCTCACTGGGGATGGAGCCCACAACCAGGGCGTATGGCCTGACCGGGAATCTAACCGGGACCTCCTGGTTCATAGGTCCAACCCCTGAGCCACGGCTGGCCAAACAGTTGGCTTTCTTCATTAGAATGAATAATGAGGCCTTCTCCAGCCCGTCCGAGGGTCCCATGGGGTCTGCAAGCCCCCCACCTGGGCCCTCCTCCCGCGGCCCCCAGAGGACTCCCCACAGGAGCTGCCGTGTTCGGGCGAGGCCCCGGACGGACGCGCGGGGAAATGGGGACCTGCTGCCGAGCGCCTCCCCTGCTGTGGGCCAAGGGGCACCATCCCTGGCTGTCAGGACCGCAGCCAGCCCAGGTGGGCCCCGGGCCGGAGCCGCACAGCCAGGCTCCTGGCTCCCGCCCCGCCCGCCCGCCCCCTATACTCCGCCCCTCCCAGTGCCGGTCCCGTCTTTTCTCCGCCAACAAGTCACCTCAGGCCCGGCCCCAGCGTCCCCGTGGGCCTTCGCCATTGGCCTTCCCCGCGGCTAAGAAGCGACCGGCTCCTCATTGGCGGCCCATTCTCCCGCGCGCGCCGCAGCCACCACAACAACCGCCACGTGCTCCACTGTGGGGCCTGCTCATTGGCCCGCAGTCTCCACCCGCCCCGCCCCCAGATTCCCGCTTCCTCCTCCTATTGGTTACCTGGCCGCAGGCCCCGCCCCAAGGGCCTGGGCACGAAGCGTCCCCACGCGGATTGGTCGGAGGCGGGAGGGCGGGGTTCGGAGGCGTGTTAAAGAGCCCGCAGTCGTTGGGGCCACGTGTACCTACGGAGGTTCAATGGCGTGGCGGGGGCTGGCGGCCGAGTTCCTGCAGGTGCCGGCAGTGACCCGCGCTTACACCGCGGCCTGCGTCCTAACCACAGCCGCCGTGGTGAGCCTACTGGGCGGGTAGGGCGTCGCCATGGTTACAGCTGGAGGAGGAGGTGCAAGTGGTTAGGGTTGGGTCCCGCTGGCAGCACCTGATGGCTCCCCTGGCTCCGCAGCAATTGGATCTCCTGAGCCCCTTCCAGCTCTACTTCAACCCGCACCTCGTGTTCCGGAAGTTCCAGGTGAGGTCGCCCCGCCCTTGCTCCCTGTCTGCCCAGCCATGTCCGCCCCGCGCCTGACTGCCTGCCTGCCCCTCGCAGGTCTGGAGGCTCCTCACCAACTTCCTCTTCTTCGGGCCCCTGGGATTCAGCTTCTTCTTCAACATGCTCTTCGTGTATCCTGTGCCTGCCGGGCCCAGGAGGGGCGTGGGCGGGCCTGCCTGCCGGGCTAAGGCGGGTGGGGAGCGGGGACACTGAGACCCAGCCAGGTGGCACTTCCTAAACGGACGCTGCAGATTCCGCTACTGCCGCATGCTGGAGGAGGGTTCCTTCCGGGGCCGCACGGCTGACTTCGTCTTCATGTTTCTCTTTGGGGGCGTCCTTATGATTGTATCCTTCCTGGGCTCCGGGACCTCAGGCCAGGCACTTCTGCGCCTGGTCCTGGGGCATGGCATCAGTGCCCAGGCCGGGAGGGACAGAGTTTACTCTGGCTTAGGATGAGCATGCATGGTGTGCTCAGCCCCAGGTGCCGATCCAAGCTAGATCTTCAAGTTTGTACAAGAACAACAACAAAAACCCCCACACCATAGGATGATGGGAAGGAGAGCCAGGTGGGGATTTGGGGTTGAGCCTTGAATGCCAGCAGCAGGAGAAACGGGCGAGGATGGGCAGTGGTGGGAGGCTGAGTGAGGCGGAGAGGCAGGGCCAGACACGTGGGGCCGGAAGGCAGGAAAACCAGCAGGATTTCAGGGACTTAGCCAGTCAGGGGAGGCCTGGGCAGGGCCTCCCAGCACCTTGACTCTGGCCCAGCTGCTGGGGCTGCTGGGCAGCCTGTTCTTCCTGGGCCAGGCCCTCACGGTCATGCTGGTGTACGTATGGAGCCGCCGCAGCCCTCAGGTGAGGGTCAACTTCTTCGGCCTCCTCACCTTCCAGGCGCCGTTCCTGCCCTGGGCGCTCATGGGCTTCTCAATGCTCCTGGGCAACTCGATCCTCGTGGACCTGCTGGGTGAGCCTCCTGCCCCTCCAAGCTGGCTGCTCTTTCAGAGCCCTCCCGCCCCTGCCTCCAGCACCTCTGTCTTACAGCCCCTGAACAAGCCCGCAGGCCTATGGCTTCACACCTGCTGGGCTTGTGTGATCCTGATTGTGGTGGGATGGGTAGGTCAGTGTTCCAGCCGTGGCGCCCACTCCGCTGTCCTCAGGTCCTGGAACACTGTCCTTCAGGGCCAGCCAGCCCCACGCTGGGCTGGCAGTCTGTGCGAGACACTGGGCACTCATGCTCTGAGGCCTGAGGTTGCTCTGGGCCTGGCTAGGCCTCTGAGCTGCAGAACAGGCTGTGCTGGCCCCGGGCTTTGGACCATGGAGGCAGTGGCCTTGGCAGTCCTCCGCTCTCCCACAGGCATTGCTGTGGGACACATCTACTACTTCCTGGAGGATGTCTTTCCCCACCAGCCTGGAGGCAAAAGGCTGCTGCTGACCCCCGGCTTCCTGTGAGTACTGGAGGCGACGGCCCTGGCTGCTCTCCCTCAGACAGCTTTTGACTCCCTTGTGGACCTATGTTGGCCTCAGCTCAACCTGGGCCCCTCCCCACAGGAAGCTGCTACTGGATGCCCCAGAAGAGGACCCCAATTACCTGCCCCTCCCCGAGGACCAGCCAGGACCCCTGCAGCAGTGACCCCGCCTAGGGCAGGGCCAGCCCCAGGAGCCCGTTCCCCCAACATCTGTCAAGCCTGTTCTGGAGGCTGGCTGTCCGAATAAACAGGATAACTTGCAGCCTCTTTGACCACAGCATTGGCTCCCCTTGCCTCACCTGGCCACACCCTCCCATGCCCTACCCTGCCTGGGGAAGGATGTGCCAGCAACTAAAGGTGGCACCAGCCCAGTGCTGGGGTCTGGCACACTGTCTTCAGTAAGTGCAGCTGTGTGCCCAGTTCACCAAGCAGTGCTTGACTTAGCGAGACCCACACGTGCCCCATGTCCCTTTTGTAGAGTGGGAACATCTCCATATTAGAGATAAGGTGAGGATGACAAACTCATTGAAGGCAGAGCTGGAAAGAGGCCCAGTGCGTGCCTCCTCCACATCCCCCACCCCACAAGCCAGCGCCCTGCCAGGTGTGCTGCTCCACATGCTGCCATCCTCCACCCAGCCTGGGAGGGAGGAGCTGGCCCAGGCCATGTGCCAGCCAGGGGTGGACATGGGTCCCAGACCACGTGTTACATGCACACTACTGGGAAGTGTGGCTAGTGTGCTGCATGCCTGCTGGACACAGGCACCCAGGCTGGGCGGGGGGGGGCTGCATTGTCTACATATTAGGTCTAGTAATAATTAATGTCGTTTTATAATACTTTTTAAAATAGAATTTATTTAAATAACACAACAAAATTTAATCAACAATATCGTTGCCGTTGTTTTCTACTACTTGTGCCCAATGCTCAAGAAGCATTTTAATCCCTCTGTTGTAAAATTCTTGTGATTTTGATGCAAAAAATTCGGTCAATGCATTTTTGAGGCATTCTTCATTATTAAATTTTTTTCCAAGAAGAAAGTTTTGCAAAGAACGAAACAAATGGTAATCGGAAGGGGCAATATCAGGAGAATATGCAGGTTGAGGGAGAACTTCCCATTCCAACTGGCGCAGTTTTTCAGCAGTGATTCTTGCAGTATGCGGTCGTGCGTTATCATGGTGAAGAATTACGCCCTTCCGATTAATCAGCGCGGGTTCTTTTTCTCTTAAAGCTTGGGCTAACCTTTCCAATTGGGCACTATACACTGCACTTGTAATGGTTTGGTTAGATGGTAAAAGTTCATAATGAAGAATTCCTTTAAAATTCCACCAAACACACAACATCACTTTTTTCGCGCAAGTCAGGTTTTGGCGTGGGCTGCGGAGCCTCATTTTTGTCCAACCATTGAGGCCGCCTTTTCAAATTAACATACAGCACCCATTTTTCATCTCCGGTAACAATTTGCTTTAAAAACGGCAAACGGTTTCGACGAGAGAGGAGCGAACTGCAAATTGTGACTCTTTGATTACGGTTGTCGGTCAACTCATGAGGAACCCATTTTCCAAACTTATGGACTTTGCCAAGTGCACGCAATTGATTGGAAATTGTTTTTTGTGAACAATTTAAAGTTGTCACAAGCTCTTGTTGGGTAATTTGAGGATTTTGCACCAAAAGAGCTTGAAGAGCTTCTTTTTTTTTTTTTTTTTAATGTATATTTTATTGATTTTATACAGAGAGGAAAGGAGAGAGAGAGCTAGAAACATCGATGAGAGAGAGTCATCGATCAGCTGCCTCTTGCACACCCCCCACTGGGGATATGCCTGCAACCAAGGTTGACCGGAATCGAACCCGGGACCTTTCAGTCCCCAAGCCGACGCTCTATCCATTGAGCCAAACCGGTCCCGGCCTGAAGAGCTTCTTGATCAAAATTGGACACACGGCCTCGACCACTCTTGTCATCTAACGAAAAATTTCCCTCGCAAAATTTCTCAAACCAACGCTGGCATTTTCTGGCGCTAACTGCATCTTGACCAAGAGCACTACAGATGTTTTTTGCAGCCTCACTTGCTTTTCTTCCTAATTGGAACTCGTAAAGCATGCAGTGCCAAATATGCTCTTCATCCGCCATCTTCTTAGCCCTAGTTTTGCAACAAAAACCAAACCAAACACAAACTTTTTCAAGCAAAACTTGTTAATTGCACTTCACACGTTCTGTAGATACCACGTGTTTGAAGGTTATGTCAATACAAGTCAACGCCAAGCAAGATTTTAAACGAATGTTTAAAAACGACATTAATTATTACTAGACCCGATAGGATGGGGCCTCTGCAAGGGACTCCAGAGAAGCAATGTCCTGGCTGGGATGGCCTGGTCACCTTAACCCAGCAGAGCGGAGGGTGTGGGGCAGGGGCTGCCCACTGAGCATCATGACCACACCTTCCATTTCTGCTGCTCTACAAAGACCCAAGCATGGGTGGAGGGGGGAAGCTGGAGGGCCCAACGAAAAGCAAGGATCAGACTCTGACTCAGTCTGGCGGGGGCTGGGGTGGCGCCATAGAGTCCCATCAGCCACCTGGGGATGGGAGGCAGAGCAGGGGAGGCCTGGCGTGCCAGCCTTGGCCACACCACCCCCAATGCCCCGGGCCCTGCTCCCTGCTTTCCATTTTTATTTTATGCAGCCACTTCAAAGAAATGGAACACCACCGGTTGCCTTTTATTTAAAAAGTGTTGCTAGCCCTTCCTGGGGCTCCTATGCAAAAACAAAACAACCCAAAACGAAGCCTCTTCCTCCTCTTCCTGATCGGGGTGGGGACTGGGGCTCAGCAATGGAAAGAGTGCGGGGGAGGGCTGCCTGGAGGCCTCCCGCTGCCCATACTCCTCAGGATGGCCCCGGCTGCCCCTCGCCTCCCTCTTTGCCAGAAGATGGAGAGGCAGGTCAGTCTTCTGAACGCTGTGTGGGAGCCGAGCACTGACGGGCTGGTTACCAGGCTGGGGCAGTGTTGGCGAGACGCCTCATTCGCCTGCAGGGAGAAAAGGGTGGTGACCCAGGGCCAGCTCCCAGCCTTGGGCCACTGCCATCCCCAGGGCTCTAGGGCAGGCAGGGAGTGGAAGCAGAGACAGGATATGGTGGGTGGGTTTCCGAGTCCCTCTCCTCCTGTGGCCTTGACTTTGGCCCTGACACTGTCCTGTCACCTGCCTGCTCAGGCCCTGCCCACCCCTCAGGGGTCCTGAAACCTGGATCTGGGCTGTGGTCAGGCCCAATCTCTTGCTTTTGCTCCTACACCCTAGGGGCACACAGGCGCCCCCAGAAGGAAACTGGGTCAGGGGGAAGTGATGGGGCCTGTGGGCAGAGCCACTGCAGGGGTTCTGGGGGGCAGGGGAGAGTACCTCGTGTTCCTGTCCTGGTCACGGATCTTCTTTTCCATCTCGGCATCCGTCAGGGTCTCCAGCAGCGGGCACCACTGGTCAGCGTCCCCCGTGTTCCGGATAGCAATCTCCACCGTGGGCAGGGGGTTCTCACTGGGAAGGTGAGGGGAGAGAGAAGTGCTAGTTCACAGAGCAGCTGGAAAGGCCCCCAAACGACTGTCTACTTTTTTTTTTTTTAATTGATTTTTTACAGAGAGGAAGAGAGAGGGACAGAGAGCTAGAAACAGATGAGAGAGAATCATCGATCAGCTGCCTCTCCCACACCACCCACTGGGGATGTGCCCGCAACCAAGGTACACGCCCTCGACCGGAATCGAACCTGGGACCCTTCAGTCCGCAGACCGACGCTCTATCCACTGAGCCAAACCGGTTTCAGCACGACTGTCTACCTCTTGCCCATCAAGAGGGAACGCTGGGCCAGGGCACAGTGGTAAGGCTGGGCCTTTCCTGCTCCACCCCCCCCCCCCCCAGCTGGGCCCATTTCCATGCTCAGCTCCTTAAAGCAGCTCTCCTGACAGGCAGTGGGAAGCTCCCGTCGCCCGCGCCTCCAGGCAGGGATGCCAGGAGCCTCCCCTGGCCACAGCAGCTGCCCCATGACCTGGGCTTCCTTCAAAGCGGCAGGCTCTCGGCCGCCGCCTCAGTGTCTCGGTCTGGGAGACTGAAGAGGGCGTTCGCTGGGGAGGAGGTTCCCTGGACAGAACTGCGGCAGGCCAGCTGCTGTCACCGGGCTGGGGAGAGGGAGGGCTGCTGGCACTGCACAGTGCCCAGAGCCAGGGCCACCGATCAGGAAGTCAGATGGAGGGTGAAAGGAGAGAAAAAGCAGAGGGCTACCAAGAGTCCCGGACACCCCTCACTGCGGGTGTCAGCCTGCTCCTGAATGTTCCATCCGCTTGCCGCTCAGCTCACTTCACAGGTGAAATCAACTCCAGAGCCTGGACTATTGGCTGAGGGCAGAGAGCTAGGCCCCAAACTACATCACCTGTGCGTCCTTTTCCACATGGACACAGCGGGGGGGGGGGGGGGGGGGGGAGATCAGCCTCGGCAAAGGCTCTGAAGGCACGGAGTGGGGAGAGGAGGGGAGGCGGGAGGCACAGGAGCACCAGGGGAAGGGGGGTGTGGGACAGGAGCCTGAGGAGGCATGGAGGCCACAACTGCCAGGAGCGGCTGCATGCCTCTGCCCTTCAGGGCAGACAGCCCAACCCCTGGACTGGCAGACAAGCTTCGGAGTGGCCCTAACTGCAATCCCCCCCTGCCCTTCCCCAGGTCCCCTCCGGCCTCCCCAGGCCCTCTTCTCCCTCCAGCTGGCCAGCTGCACCTTTCTGAGGCTCAGCCCACGGAAGGCCTGCCCGCCCTCCCAGCTGCCAGGAGCCTCTCATCAAAGCCCAGAGCCTGCGGGGGCACCACCAGCTCAGGAGCAGGGCAGGGAGTGCCTGGTGGGGATAAAACAGGATAGGCCCTGAGGGCGGCCACGGTTTTGATACCTCATCTGGAAAATAGGAAAGACATCGGAGGGGTTTCTGAGGATTTTGCTTGTTAAAGCAGCCAGCATACGTCTGGAGGGAGCTTCCTAAGGGCCCAGGGCCTTCTCACACAGCTGAAGCCTGTGCCCAAGGTCATGTGACTGGTTGGCTAGAGAGGTGTGTCCACCAAGGCCTGACTGCCGAGCCCCCAGCCTCATGAGGGGGCAGCCTGGGGTCGACCCCCCCATCCCCCGTGCTGCTCTCCTGCCTGGGGTCTCGGACACCAGGCGCACAAATGACACTGCTCAGGGTGCAGGCTGAGGCTGGCACCATAGCCCAGAGCTGGCCCTGGCTCCCTGCAGAAGTGGGGCTCACCTCTTGAGTCAGGCCCAGAAGCCTGAGCCCCTGCTGCTGACTCTGAGGCCAGTGACAGCAGCGCCAGCCCCACCCCTCGGTACCCTGGGGCCCATCTCTCCTCATCACTCCTGACAGCTGCTGTGCAGCCTGAGCTGGCGGTTTGACAAAGCAGGAACCACCAGTCACAGACTCAACATCACTCCTCACCTCGTGGGCTACCAACTAACTGCCTTTGTCAGGGGGCAGACATGAAAGGCGCCAAGCCCACACGGAGGGAGGAAAACATGCTTTCCTCTTAATTTAAACAAGAGCTGGTGCGGCGGTCCTGGAGTCCCTTTGTTTACCCCCTGGGCTTGGGAAGATTCCACGCCAGTGGTTGTTCTAAAATAAGAACTGCTCAAAACAAGAACAGGCCAGGAGCCAGCAGGCCTGACTCCGGTTTGGGGGAGGATACAGCCACAGACCCACCCTGCCTCCCACCCCTCTAAGGGAACTATGACTCATGGGCCCTAACGCCCACGAGGTCCAGGTGGGGACCCAGAGCCCAGGTGGGCAAGGTCATGTTTGAGGCCCCAGAGGGACCAGGACTGATGATACAGGATCTTGAGGTTAATTTTCAATGTGGTCGCACTTTTATGACCTCACGTGACACAACAGACCAGCTGAGAAGCATTTCTATGCCCACTGGGTAAACGAGACGGAGGGAAACGGCCTGCCCGCAGCCACTAGCTGGGAGGGGGAGGAGGACACAGAACTTGATGTTACCCTCCTCTTCAAGATCAACTGACTTTTGACAAGGGTGCCACGCCACTCAATGAGGAAAAGGCAGGCTTCTCAACAAATGGTGCCGAGACAACAAGACCTTCGGTTAAGCCACTGGTTGGCAAACTGTGGCTCTCTAGCCACATGCGGCTCTTTGGCCCCTTGAGTGTGGCTCTTCCACGAAATACCACGGCTTGGGTGAATCTATTTTGAAGAAGTGGCGTTAGAAGAAGTTTAAATTTAAAAAATTTGGCTCTCAAAAATTTCAATCGTACTGTTGATATTTGGCTCTGTTGACTAATGAGTTTGCTGACTACTGGGTTAAGCAATGATTTCTTACATGTGACACTAAAAGCACAACAAAAGGAAAAATAGATAACAAAATGTAAAACTTGTGTACTTAAGAGCACAATAATACAAGTGAAAAGAAAAGCTACAAAATGGGAGAAAATATTTGTAAATCATGTATCTGATAAGGGACTTGTATCTAGGCTACATAAAGAACTCTTAAAGCTCAAGTACAAAAACAACAAAAACCAACTGGAAAGGAAACAAATGACTGGAATAGCCATTTTCCCAAGGAAGATACACAATTGCCAATTGTATGAAAAGGTGCTCAAGATCACCAGTCATTAGGGCAATGCAAATCAAAATCTCCTCACTCCCACCAACAGGACGGCTAGAGTAAACAATTCAGATAACCCTGGCGTGGCTCTGCTGGTTGAGAGTTCTCCCATGCACGAAGAGGTTGCCAGATCGATTCCCAATCAGGGCATTTGCCCAGGCTGTGGCTCAGTCCCCAGAAGGGGGCGTGCAGGAGGCAACTGATTGATCTTTCTCCTTCTTCCTTCCTCTCTCAAATCAGTAAAGTCAATAAAAACATTTTTTTTTTTTAAGTCAGATAAATGTTGGTGAAGATGTAGAGAAGCTACGATCCTCATACTGCTGGTGGGAAAGGAAAATGGTGCCAGTACTTTGGAAAGCAGTCCGACAGATCCTCAGAATGCTAACATGGTCACATGACCCAGCAATTCCGCTGCCAGGGCAGGTGAGCAGAGCTCTAGGAGTAACCCCAGTGGCTCATAGTCAACCAATCACAAGTGACTCTGGAGTCTCCAACCCTGATGCTGCTCTAGTAACTATCTCTGTTTCCCATCAGGCCTAGCTGCCAGGTCCCACCTATTGACCTGTCCTGACTTCCTCTTGCCAGCACCTCACCCTAGTTCTACACCTCCTCCCCTCTCCCTCCTCCCTGTGTGTGCAGCCCCTGGTGCCTCCTGACCACGCACACAAGTCTCCTCGGTTAGGACACCTTTCTCTGATGTCCAGCCTGGGGCACAGGGCTGGCCTGGAGGTGCCAGTTTTAACTCTGCTGAATGCAACTCTCCTCACATTCTCGGTGAATGTCTGACACCCTCACACACTGTCCAGCCCTGTCCCCTTCCTGTTACTCACATCTCTTCGTCCCCATGCTGCTGGCTTCCAACATCTATGACAACCTAGGTTAGCTCTGTCCTCTAGGAGATTAGGGGCCCCAACCCATCTCCCACACACCGTGTCCCCCATGTCCCCCTTCCACATTCACCCACATCAGGTCAGCCCACCCCACTTGCTGAAGGGAAGCAGCCTGTTTTGCCCTGGTTCCCGACTGTGGGCATCTTGCCCCTGCTCTACCATGGACACGACTCAAAGCCATCACTGAGAGGGGAACCATAGCCAGACACTGACAGGAGGCCAGGACTCTCCTGGCTCCTTGCAGTTCTGTCCTGAGCAATGAAGCCTGTGACAAGCCAGCCCTGGCCAAAGGCACTTCTTCCTGTGGTTGAGCTCCCTGCACACTAACCAATAGGTTGGGCCCAAGATGAAGAGCTCACAGGCTGGTGAGCTGGAAAAACACACCAGGACATACCCCTCCAGCTTGGCTGCCCAGGCTGCTGCAGAGGAATGTGCCTCCCTGGTCCCCAGTGGGGTGGCCCTGCCTTCAATCCTGAGGATGTGGAATCTGCACCCTAAGCACCAGAGACTGAGGTGGGACGGAGGTCTGTGACGCTCCCCGTCCACAAACCGGAATCCGTTAACTGGCTGCTGAGAACAGGGAGGGATCTGTCAGTCCTGACCTGCCACCACCATGGGCTCCAGAGGGGCACCTGCTCTGGAGCTACTTGGCACCCTGCTGACGCCCTGAGGCTCAAGGGCTTTGGGTGGACAGCTTGGTTCACCTGGAGTTCAGAGCAGGAGGATGGCGCAACATGTGTCGACACCCTCAGGATCCTGCTGCTGGGAGCGTGACACGCCCGCCCCTGCACCTGCCAGTCGGAACGTGTGTTCTGACTCAGTCAGCATGTGGGGAATGAGGTCCTCGGTGTTGATGTCACTCCTAAGACCTGCAAAATGTCACTGCCTCCCAGGACCTCAGGGTCGGCTCTTTGAAGCACGGCCGGGCCAAACAGGCCTTGGTTCCCGAGAAGAGTGAAGAGACAGGACTGACACTCCTCGGGCAGGCCTCCCACAGGAAGCGGGGGCGGTGGGCAGACACCACCTCCCCTTTCCTCTCTGGGCCGGGACCACCTGGCTGGCAGGGCTGCTGAGGGTCACGGGAGGTGACGGATGCGCCTGGTCGGCCGGGATGCTGGGAGCACAGACCCCCACGGGGCTCAGAGTCTCCAAGGCCTGGAACCTCAGGTCCTGTGGTGTACGATCATTCCTTCTCTCTTGCTCAGATTTACGGGAAACCATAAGAAAGCTGTCTCTTGGGAATTCTGGGAGAACCAACTGACCCACAAACATACTCACGAGCCCCATTAATTGTTATGTCTTTGGAGAAAGACCTTCATACTTGCTCCTCATGCAGCGTTTAAGCTCAGCCTCCGAGTAATGACCACCACATGTGGATGATGACAGTTTCACGAGCAGAATAAATTCTAACATCCTGTTTTGATGCAGGGATACTTAGGCACCGCGTCCCCCACCCACACACCATCCAAATGTGAAAGAGGAGCTCAAGGGATGGGGCTGGCTGACGGCGCAGTCCTGAGGCCGCAAGCATCATTGCTTAGTTAACGCCCCCAGGTCCTATCTCCTGTCAGGCCTGATCCTCACTGCAGGGCCAAAACCAGCAGGAAGCCATGTCTGTCCACCCCCACCCTAGCACGCAGGACACTGGACTGGAATGTCCTCTTTACACTGCCACCTTCGCAGGCAGCCCGAAGTTGGCTCTTTACCTTCCATGGCACCAGTATGGGGTCTGGCCAGCGTGGGTGCTCACCAGCTGGCCTCTGACTGCACGATGGCAAGATGCAACAGTAAAAGCAGCAACGGAAGGCTCCCTGGCTCTGTGAGCCAGGAGGGAGTGTGGAGGAGCCCGTGTTTGAGACAGAAGGCGAGTCCATCAGATGAATTCTGGGGTGCAACCCTGACAGAGGCAGTAGGGGCAAGAGTGCAGAGAGGAGGAGGGAGGGGTATGAGGGCCGCAGAGGGGCTGCTGCCCGGAGCGCGGCCCAGGGCAGTGCGGGTGGGTAGAGCACAAAGGGGAAGATACCCCATCTCCTTAGATCCCCCCTTCATGATGGGCAGGGGTTGGGGAGCTCAGCCTCTGGGACATAAGAGGTGGCAGAAGGAGGAAGGCTGTCCAACGCCAAGCCGTACGGCGAAGGTCCAGAAAATCCCTGTTATCACCATGCACAGGGAGAGAAGTCTTTTCCCAAAAACAGGTTTGCAGGAGAATGACAGAGAGACTCATCGCGATCCTACCTGAAGGCGTAGGTCTTCTGATGCCAGCTCAGCTGTCCTCGAATGCTGTAGGCGATGGTGGTGACAAACTCCCCGCCCAGGCCCAGTTCTGAGCACAGCTTCAGGGCGAACTTCTCGGGCGAGTTCTCCTTCTCGGACATGTCCCACTCAAACTGGTCCACCAGGGAGATGTTCCCCACATGTATGTTCAGCTGCAGCCAGAACCAAAGAACCCAAATTAGAACTGCCAGAACCCGCCCAACAGAGGCACTGCGAGGAAGGGGACAGCTCACTCTGCGCCAACGGTGTCTGACCCCGGAGCGGACAAGCCCTCACAACGCCAAGCCAGGCAGGAACCCAATCTGGGACAGACTCCCAATAGCCCACCAGATGGCAGCCCGTGGGTAGGGATCATAGTGGGGTGGAGCACCTGAAGGTGCTGTCCACTCACCAAGAAAGCCTCCAGTCAGGGGAGCAGGTGGCAGCCCAAGTGGAGTTTGAACTGTCTGACCACTTTCCGTATGGCTGCCCACAAGCCCCATCAGGACAACAGCAAGAAAGCACCCAATTCTGAGAAATATACCAGGGAAGCCAGCTGGTCAGACTCATGAGGACCCTGGGGGGGCTGACCCTGGCCACTTGGAGCCATGTGGTTGGATGTGGCTAACTCCATAAGGTCATGTTCTTACTAAAGTTATAAGACAAAGATGCAGCACGGAGCAGGGTCCTTGGGACCATGCTCCAGAGGTAAGAGGCTGCACACAGGAACATGGGAGAGGCTCCTACTACTATACCCAACACTCCCCCAATTCTCGCTCATGATCGTGGCCGGTAAACTGCAGCTCGTGAGCCACATGCGGCTCTTTGGCCCCTTGAGTGTGGCTCTTCCACAAAATACCACGGCCTGGGGCAAGTCTATTTTGAAGAAGTGGCGTTAGAAGAAGTTCAAGTTTAAAAAATTTGGCTCCTAAAGGAAATTTCAATCGTTGTAATGTTGATATTTGGCTCTGCTGATGAATGAGTTTGCCGACCACTGCCCCATGACATCCCCCTTTTCCCAACTGTGCCCTTTTTCTGGTAGTCAGCCATAATGTGAAACTGAAGCAGACTAAGAACAAGAATTCTCTCCAAAGTAATTAACTAGCTAAGAAACTTAATCAGTAATCAAAACCCTGACAAAGAAAAGCCCTGGACTTAATGGCTTCACTGGTGAACTCTTAAATAAGAACTTCCATCAGTCGAGACCGATTGGCTCAATGGATAGAGCGTTGGCTTGGGGACTGAAGGGACCCGGGTTCGATTCCGGTCAAGGGCATGTACCTTGGTTGCGGGCATATCCCCAGTGGGGGGTGTGCAAGAGGCAGCTGATTGATGACTCTCTCTCATCGATGTTTCTAACTATCTCTCTCCCTTCTTCTCTATACAAAATCAATAAAATATATTTAAAAAAAGAAAAAAAGAAAAAAAGAAAAAGAACTTCCATCAGCCAGTGGAAAACAAAGGCAGGTGGAACACATGGCACTTTGAGCAGCCTAGGCACAGGAACCAACCAAGCTGAAATAACAGAATGTTTTAGACTCAGAGCAGGAGGCATGTGAAACTAGGGAAGGACTGCAACAATGAGGTGACCTGATGTACACGAACAGGGAAAGTTCAGGCCTGTTGCCTGGCAAGACCAATTGAGAGAATCAATCAGAGGCAACATGGGTACAGAGCAGGCTTAGCCAATATAAACCCTGGACCACAGGCTTCAATGGAAACCCATTATTGGGCCCCTCCCCATGCAGGAGTCTGAATCTTCTTGTAATAAAATTTTCCACACTTTTGCTTAAAAAACAAACAACAACAAAAACTACCATCAATCCTCCTCAAATTTCTGCCAAGAAAAAGTGAGGAACAGGCAACGTTTTATAATTCATTGCCCTAATGCCAAACCCAGACCCTGCAAGAAAGGAAAACTATAAAGCAATCTTCCTTATGAGCACTGATGCAATAACCCTCCACAAAATCCTAGCCAACTGAATCCAGCTGCATATTAGAAGGATTACATACCACCACCACATGGGATTTATTCCTGCAGGACAAGATGGGTCAATACGAAAACTGATCAATGAAGAATAAAACCACATGATCATCTCATTGGATACAGAAAAAACTTTTGGCAAAATTCAACATCCTTTCAGGACAAAAACACTCAAGAAACTAGAAATAGAAGGAAACACTTTGTTGTTGTTGTTAACCCTCACCAGAGGATAGTTTTTCCATTGTTTTTCAGAGAGAGGAGAGGAGAGGGGTAGTGACAGAAAGAGAAGTACATCGATGTGAGAGGACACATCAATTGGTTGCCTCCCGCACACGCTTTGGTTGCCAGCCGGGGTCAAGGGGTTGAGCCTTCAACCAAAGTATGTGCCCTTGACCAGAATCCAACCTAGGACCCTTCAATCCTTGGGCTAATGCTCTAATTACTAAGCAAAACTGGCTAGGGCAGAAGGAAACTATTTTAACATAATAAAATCCATACATGGAAAACCCACAGTGAATATGTATTCAACAGTGAAAGACTAAAAGCTTTTCCTCTAAGACCAGGAACTAGACAAGATGCCTGCTCTTACAATTTCTAGACAGAGCAAGTAGGCAAGAAAAAGAAATAAAAGGCACCCGATGCCCTAGCCAGTTTTGTTCAGTGGATAGTGTTGGCCTGCGAACTGAAAGGTCCCAGGTTTGATTCCAGTCAAGGGCACATGCCTGGATTGTGGGCTCAATCCCCAGTGGGGGACTTGCAGGAGGCAGCCTATCAATGATTCTCTCTCATCATGGATGTTTCTATCTCTTTCTAGCTCTTCCTTCCTCTCTGAAATCAATAAAAATGTGTTTGTTTCTTTTTAAAAAGCACCCAAACTGTAAAGAAAGGAGTTGTCTCTGCTCGCAGATGTTATAATCTCATATGTAAAAAACCCTAGATTACATTTAAAAAGTTAGAGCTAATACGTAAATTCAGCAAACTAGCAGAATATAAAGTCAAAACACAAAAATCAGCTATATTTCTATACACTTGACAAAGAACCATCTGGAAAGAAAATTGAGAAAACAAATCTATTTAAAATAGCACTGAAAAGAACAAAATATTTAGGAATTAACTTAATCAAGGAGATAAAAGACTTATACAATGAAAACTACAAAACAATGCTGAAAGCAATTAAACAAGTCATAAATAAAAGACATCCCAACAATTTATTTTTGGAGACGTAGAAAAAAATCCATCCTAAAATTCATATAAAATCTAAGCCCTGAACAGCCAAAACAATCTTGAAAAAGAACAACAAAGACTCACACTTGCTGATTGTAAAGCTACAGTAATCAAAACAGTGTGATGCTGACACAGAGACATGTAAGCCAATAGAATAGAGAATCCAAAAATAAACCCTTGCATACATGGTCAAATGATTTTCCACGAGAGCACCAAGACCATTGAACGGGAGAAAAAAACAGTCTTCAACAAACAGTGCTGGAAAAACAGGATATCCACATGCCAAAGAATGAAGCTGGACCCTAACCTTACACCAAGCATGTCAAACTCAAAGGCTAACGTGGGTCAAATAAACAAGGTTTAAATTTATGTGGGCCATAAAAAAACAAAAGCTTCAATTTTCATAGAAACATAGGTTTATCGATAGAAATATGCTGAATACAAAGGGCTGAATTAAATGAGTCATCATTAATATAAAATCATAGATACTTTAATAAAAATTAACTTTTTCTTAAATAATAACTTACCAGACACTGAATAAGTACACAAAGTAATAAGTGTAACACAAGTAAACCTATTTTTCTTGTTCTCCGAAAGCAAAATATTTCCTGTTGCGCACACCAGACAAGTCAGTACAAGACTAATGGTGTGGCAATCAGCTGCTAAAATATTCGCTGCTAGTATTATTGTGCCTGCGCGTAAGGTGCATAAGGGAAAGAATGCAACATGATGACAGGAATCAGTCATTAGCATTGTTGTCCGTTATTAATAACTAGAGGCTCAGTGCACAAAATCCACGCACTGGTAGGGCCCCTAGCGGCTGCCGGCTGCTGGTGAGATATTCCCTCCCTTCCCCGGGTTGGCCTCGCCCTGGCTGAACTTCTGGACGAACCCTCAGTTGAAGGGACAATTTGCATACTATGCTTTTATTACATAGGATTATGGATAACAGGATATTGTAAAGATTAAGTTATGAAATTTTTTAAATTTATATATTTTTAAAATATATTTTATTGATTTTTCACAGAGAAGAAGAGAGAGGGATAGAGTTAGAAACATCAATGAGAGAGAATCATCAACCAGCTGCCTCTTGCACACCCCCTACTGGGGATGTGCCCGCAACCAAAGTACAACCTTGACCGGAATCAAACCCAGGGCCTTTCAGTCCGTAGGCCGACGCTCTATCCACTGAGCCAAACCAGTGCCGGTTAAGCTATGAAATTTTTATTAAAACATTTCTCACAACCGTTATATTGGCTGGGCTGCAAAAATATTCGTTGTGGGCTACATGCGACCCATGGGCCGTTGTGGGCTACATGCGACCCATGGGACATGCTCGCCTTACACCACATACAAAAGTTAACCCAAAATTGATGAATGACATAAATGTAAGAAATAAAATGATAAAACTCTTAGAAAAAAATAGATGAAACAGGCAACAAATGAGAAAAATAGAAAAACTGGATTTCATCAAAAAAATAAAAAGGCAACTCACAGAATGTGAGTAAATACTTGCAAGTCACATATCTGATAAGGGATTGATATGTAGAAGATATAGAGAACTTGTAAAACACAACTAAAGAACAAACCTGCTTAAAAGTTGGGCAAAGGTCTTGAATAGGCATTTTCCTAAAGAAGATATACAAATAGCCAATAAGTACATGAAAAAAATATTCAGCATCACTAAGAAACAGGGAAATGCAAATCAAAACCACAATGAGATCCCACTTCACACCAAGCAGGCTTTGTAGCAGGCAGGCCTGGCCCCAAATTCCAAGTCTATCACTTCTCAACTGGGCAGTTTGGGGCAGGTGGCCTAACCTTTCCATGTGCCCACTTCTTTTTTTTTAAAAAAAAAAAATATTTTTTTTTTATTGATTTCAGAGAGGAAGAGAGAGGGTGAGATAGAAACATCAATGATGAGAGAGAATCATTGACCAGCTGCTTCCTGCATGCTCCCTGCTAGGGATTGAGCCTGCTACCCAGGCATGTGCCCTTGACTAGAATTGAACCTGGGACCCTTCAGTCCGCAGGCCAATGCTCTATCCACTCAGCCAAACCGGCCAGGGCTATGTGTCCCCTTCACCTGTAACACAGCGGATGAGGCAGCATCTACCCCAGGACTGTGGTGGGTTACTGAGACAGAATGGGGTGTGCTCGATCCAACCAGCCTCTGGGAAGAGTAAGGCGGTATGCTCATCTCTGGGCTTCCGCCCTCTGCCCATCAGCTGGCTTCGTCTCCTTTGAGCACGCCTGGAATGTGATACCGTACTCAGAGAAGTCAGGCCCACCCTTTCCTGGGGGAGTAAGCAGAACCACGTGCTGTCTCAAAGACAGCTTTCCAGGAGCGCCGTCCCACAGGCTTCACTGACGGCTCCACACACAGGGTAAGGAAGGCCCCGGCACATGGAGAGGAACTGCCTACCTTGATGATAACACGCTGGTCTGACTGGTCCTCCAGGATGCTGTCTGTGGGATAGGACTCAATCTGCTGTCTGATGGCAGAGGCGATAGCTGGCACAAACGTCAATGGATTCAAATCTAGATCATCACAGAGGATTTCGGAGAACATCTCCGGAGTCATCAGCTTCTCTGTAATCAGGTATGAGGGCAGAGGTTGTCAACAAATTGCGGGGCCTAATCTCAGCCTTCTCAGCCCTGACCTCCCCCATCCTTCCTCCTCTGCCAAATCTCGGATGAAGGTAAGGATAAAGACGAGGACGGGTGGTCCACCCTGATATGTCAGGGAAAGGAAGCAGAGGATGAATACGTTTCTGTCCATCTTTCCACATACACTACCTCCTTCACACCCCAGGGTGGTCAAGGCCCTAAGTGTCCCCCAAACCAGGTTCTCCCGCTCCCAGGCACCCCTACACCGCTACACACTCCATCGGTTCTAACCAATGAGATGTCTGGGAAGAGGGGAAGCAAAGGCACTTCAGAGCTATGTGTCACTGTCTCTGAGGGATATTATCGATAGAAATATGCTGAATATTTCTCCCCTCCTCTTGACCCAACAAGCAGGGCAGCCCTCTGTGAAGAGAAGACAGCTATCCACACACCAAGGCAAGGCCTCAGAGAAAACCAATGCTGCCAACTCCTTGATCTTCAACTTCTAGCTTCCAGATCTGGGAGAACATACATTTCTGTTGTTTAAACTCCAGGTGTGGGACTTTATGGCATCCCTGGCAAACGAACACAGGTGTTTTTTGTGTGTTTTTTTTTTGTAATTGATTTTTTTACAGAGAGGAAGGGAGAGAGATAGAGAGCCAGAAATGTTGATGAGAGAGAAACATCGACCAGCCGCCTCCTGCACACCCTCCACCAGGGATGTGCCCGCAACCAACGTACATGCCCTTGACTGGAATTGAACCCGGGACCTTTCAGTCCGCAGACCGACGCTCTACCACTGAGCCAAACCGGTTTTGGCCGAACAAAGGTTTCTTCTGGAGAAGGCACTGTGAGGCCAGTTCCCATTGGAGGATGGAGCAGATGCTCGTCCATCTACCTCTTCCCCAGTAGAAATATCCCTCAGAGACAGTATTGGGCCGCTTATGGCTTTTTACAGACCTTCCCCCTTCCTAACTCTATGGGTAGCATATACACCCAACAAGTTGACAAGCACAGAGGTGTGTGTGGATCCTGGAAACGTAACTGTGCCGGGCATGAGCTCACAGGGACTATCTGTGACTGGCCAGGCTATAGCAAGGTACTGTGCAATCAAATCCTTTTCTCGCCATCCTCCTTTATTCTCATAACCCAAACCTTAGTGATCATACAAAACTCTGGGATGAGCCATAGACAAAAAAAGCCAAGAATGAATTCCCTCATGAGCAAATAGCACGATTCCATTATCAAGAACCAGCTCTGCTTAACAGATATTCAACCTCACTATTTCCTCACGAGCCCAGGAGAAGTGCTGGAAACCAAGTGTCCTAACAGCACCATCAGGACAAACCTGGAACCCTGAGCCAACCTATGCTCAATAACTCAAAAAACAAGCAAATGTAGTTTATTCTGAAGATTGCAGCAGAAAGCTAAAGTGCTCAGGCTAAGTAATCTATGAGTACATTGTCAATAGCATTTAAAAAAATTAACCTTTTTCCCAACCAGTGTGGTTCAGTGGTTGAGCATCAATCTATGAACCAGTAGGTCACAGTTGGATTCCTGGTCAGAGCATATGCTTGGGTTGCAGGCTCAATCCCTAGTAGGGGGCGTGCAGGAGGCAGCCGATTGATGATTCTCTCTCATCAGTGATGTTTCTATATCTTCCCCCTCTCCCTTCTTCTCTGAAATAAATAAAAATAAATAAACTGAAAGAGGATTTGAACCCAAAGTCCACACCTCCTAAAAGCCACATGCTTTGATTGTTGGGTTCAGAATCCATAACACGCCCAAAAGGCAACAGGCATGAAAGGGGGGTGTGTGTACAGTGGCTTGTCTGGCTATTCGGAGCCCCATGTACCATTCATGTTCCAGGTAAAGGCATCCCTGAGCTTCTGCCCGTCAATCTCCATGTCCAGCCGGATGGGGACCAGCACCTCGGGCTGGGACGCATTCTCGTGGATTACTGCTGGGTCGTGGTCATCAAAGCTGGAAGCAAATGGCAGCAAAGTCAGCAAGGGGTGCTGTGAGTCCCCCAGGGCTCCCTCTCTACACCATGGATCACTGCGAACCTGGCCCAGGGGGACCAGGAGATTTCACACACACCCTTGTCAACTAAGGGCGGAGTCAGAAGAGACCAGGGCAGCAGGGGCCGAGCTCCACACTTCATGAACTCGGGAAAGAGAGGGAAAGCTGCTGGCCTGGGCCGTGCACAGGACCTAGGCATCCTCTGAAAGAAGGAGATTTAAGCCCCAAAGCAGGCAGGACCTTTACAGAAAGCTGCGGGAAAGGACAGGTATTTCCAAAAGAGGAAAGACCTGAGCAGAGGCCAAGGAGCAAGGAGAAGCAAGGAGGTGCTGGGCAGCAGCAGCCAGAACATGAAGGGGGGCTAGAGGTTAGAGGGGGGAGCAGCTGGTGAGGCACCGAAACTACGGGGTCAAGGTGCCAACAGTTCAGCTGCGGAATCCAGCCTCTCCCTAAGGGAGTTCCAGGAGGACTGAGCGAGGGCTTTGCATGGTCATGTCTGGGTTTTAAGAAGACAAAGAGGAAAGAGATGTGGGGATGCTGGAGGACACAAGGAAGGCAAAGGCATCTGCGGAATACACAGGGCTGAGAGCTTGGGGCAGGACCACCAACAAACAAGAGCAGACCATACGCCTGACATAAATGCTCTGGGAAACAGGAAAGGGACGGGGAGGAGTGGCCATTCTCAGGGTGGAAGGCAGCCCTGAGAAAGTGACGTTCAAACAGAAATGGGAAGGATGGAAAAGGAGGGAGGGAAGGAGGAGAGAAGGAGACGAAAAGATACTGGCAAGCAGTGAATGAGGCTGGGCTGTAGAGGTGAATGTGGGGATGGTGCTTGAAAAATAACCCTCAAAAGATAGCTATGTCCTAATCCTTGGAACCTTGACCATTACCTTATATGGCAAAAGGGGTGTGTGTGTGCTTTGCATGGTGATTAAGTGAAGGATCTTGAGAGGAGATTAATTATCTTAGAGGGCCTAAATTATAGCAGGAGCCTTATAAGAGATGGACAGGGAGAGATTTCACACACACCCAGAAGGCCATGGGACCACGGAAGCAGAGACTGGTACTGTGGCTAAAGCCGAGGAATGCCAGCAGATGCCAGAAGCTGGAAGAGACAGAAGCAGATTCTCTCCGAGAGGCCCCAGGATTGCAACCCAGTCAACACCTTGATTCTGGCTCAGTTAAACTCCTGGCCTCCAAAACTATGAGAGAAGAAATCTATGTTGTATTAATTCAGTTTGTTGCGATTTGTTGCAGCAGTCACAGGGAAAGAACACAGCAGGAGTCACGTGAACAGCATGTGAAACCATGAGAAAAGGTCTAAGAACTACGGCCCCAGGAATTCTACTCAAGGTCCTCGGGAAAATATGAGACTGGTGAGATGAAAACAGGCCAAGTTGGGGGGCTGGAGCAAGCTAGAGACTAGCTCCCTGCAAGCTGAGGGCAAACAGTTTCATGGAGAAGGCAGTGTGGCATTTTGGGGAACCAAAGTAAGAGTGTTTTTCAGGGCGGGGGGGGGGAGATGAAAATACATTCAAGCACTAAGGCGGACTCGGTGGAGAGCGCTCACCAGAGAGGGAAGGTCCTCTTCTTGTCTCGGCCCATGCGGTTCCTGTTGATGGTCGTGGAGCACGGGACAGCATCCAGGTGGTGGGAGCTGTTGGGCAGGGTGGGCACCCACTGACTGTTCCTCTTTGCTTTCTGTTCCCTGGAAAGACATGGGAAACCTCCCACTCAGTCTCTGAGCCCAGTGCCACCTCCAGGTAGCAAGTCGTGGTCAGCAGACCCCCTCTGCAGCCCTGCTGGGCTCTGGGCCCTAGTGGGAGCTTCTGTGCACCCAGACTCTGCGGGTGTCTGTTCCCTAGGCTCCCACCAGCACCTGCTTGGAGGTAACCAAGCTAGGAGAAGGGTGAAAAGGGGCCCCGGCATGGCAGAGCAGCGTCCGGCCCAGGGCACGAACCATAATCTAGCATGTTATTGCTATGTGCTGGGCATGGCTCCACGGAAGCACTGTAAGGAGGCGGCTTCCCCAAGGAGTGGAGCCTTAAACACTGAGTCAGGGTTCACTGGGGTGGGGTGACTGGAGGGGAGAAAGCATTCCAAGAGGAGCAGACAGCAGCAGGGAACAGGCAGCAGGTTGCGGGCCTGAAAACATGAGACCCAGACAGGGTCCCAATTCAGGGGCTGACGTGTTCTGTGCGAGACTGGCTGTATTCAGCAGACGGCTGGGAGTCCCCAGGGTTTGCAGCAGGAAGAGACATGATCAGACTATTATTTAAACATGCAGGCCGGCCTGAGATGGCCGAGGCAACCCTGCTGGCCTCTGGACTTCCAGACCAGCAGACACTCAGAATAAAGTAAGTAGCCCATGTCTACAGAAGTCTGCGTGCTGGGGTTCCCACTGTGCTCTGAGCCCCTTTACCATCCTCAGGGCACCTTTCCCAATGAGATGACGAGCAAGGTGAGGGCAGTGCCTGGGTGTAATTCCCCCCTGTGGACACCTGCACCCTCTTCTTCAACATCGGCTACGACGCAGAGAATACGGCAACCGCTGCATTTCCTGCTGCTTTGCCAGTGCCCTCTCAGGAGGGCCAGAGACACAGCTGGCAGACCTTCCCTTCCTCAAGGGGCGTGGAGGGCAGAGGTGGTGACCATGACCTGCCTGGGCCCGGGCCCTTTAACTCTTTTATCTTCTGACACTGGGACCACTCACACTCAGATGCTGAGGTCCAGGAACATCCCTGATGGAGGGCAGGGCCAGAGAGGGAGTCACGGCACCTGGGCCAGGACTCCACCAAGCCTCCCGTGCCCAGGTCTCGCTTAGACCTAATGACCAGCCTTCACCTTATATGAGAGGAACATCCTGGGAAAACGGGAAGCACAGAACTAATGTGGGCGGGGCTGAGAGCTGGGGCAACAAGACCCGCATCCCCACCACAGCCCACCTGGGCCCACTGGCCACCCAGACTCACTTAGAGCACAAAAATGTCAGTAATAGATTCCTGAATCCCCCCCAGATCAAACAATCCCCCTCTCTGGAGAGGGCCTGGGAACACAAATTCTTTTTTTCTTTTTCTTTTTTTCTTTTTTAATATATTTTATTGATTTTTGTACAGAGTGGAAGGGAGAGAGATAGAGAGTTCGAAACATCAATCAGAGAGAGTCATCGATCAGCAGAACACAAATTCTTAACGTCCATGGGCATTGCTGATGCCACGGGCCTGTACTGGGGAGCCTTGGGTCTAGCACCCCTCTTTTCTGAGCCTCCTAGAGTCAAAGCCTGCCCCGACTCAGCAGCAATCTCACTCATTTCCAGTCTTGGCTGCTCTGCCAAGTCATGTCACAGACACAGTGAGCATGCATCCACAGCCCAGCACAGACTCCGAGGCTCTGAGTCATGTAATTCAAGCTCCTTCCACCGCCTGGAGGTCTGCCTGAGAGGGGGCAGCCGGCCTCTGCCTGCCTGCTCGGTGAGGTGGGGGGGAGGTGCCAGTCCTCCCGTGGGGCTGACTAGACAGTGAGAAGGTGCTTCCTGAGCACAAAGCCTGACAAAGCGCAAAGCAGCCTCCTTCAAAACTTCACCTCCTACCCCCGCACCCCAGTTCTTCCTCCCTCAGCTGCTCCTCAAATGACATGATCATTAAGAAAGTGTTTATCGCCCCATAAAAGTTTCCCAGCTGATGTGTGCAGACTTGAAAGTCCCATCCATATGTACTCAATTTCCTTCTGCCACTTCCCTGGGAAAGTCTAGCCATCCTTATGTTTTACCACATCCCTGAGCGGGGCGGGAGGGTGGGGGAGAAATCTGTAGAGCACACATCCATAACGCTGGCCAGGTTGGATGTGCGCCACCATTTTCCAGGGGCAGTGGGGAGGAAGGATTATATAAAGAATCCAGTAGGAAAGTTGAGAGCAAATTGGAAAAGAAAACCGCATCACACAAAACAATCCAGTCCTGCCAGTGCGGCCCAGTGGTTAAGCATCAACCTATGAACCAGGAGGTCAGGGTTAGATTCCGGATCAGGGCACGTGCCTGGATTGCGGGCTTGATCCCCAGTGTGGGGCGTGCCGGGAGGCAGCCAATCAATGATTCTCATCATTTATGTTTTTTTCTCTCTCTCTCCCTTCTTCTTTAACATCAATAAAAATATATTTTTAAAAAACAAATAAAATAACACTCTCACCGAAACCGGTTTGGCTCAGTGGATAGAGCGTCGGCTTGCGGACTGAAAAGTCCCGGGTTCGATTCCTGTCGGGGGCATGTACCTTGGTTGCGGGCACATCTCCAGTTGGGGGTGTGCAAGAGGCAGCTGATCGATTCTCTCTCATTGATGATTCTAACTCTCTATCCCTCTTTCTCTCTGTAAAAAATCAATAATATATATATATATATATATATATATTTTTTTTTTTTTTTTTTTTTTTTTTTTTTTTAAATAACACTCTCCAACTCCCTTAGTGCTTCTGGGGTTTGGTGCACATGAATGCAGGTTTATCTGAGAACTGCAAGCACAGGGCAGGCATCTGTGGGGCTCAGGCATGTGAACTCCATCTTTGGTTGCTGCAGTCTACTTAATTACAATATACAGTTACATCGTAGTTCATTCCAGTGAGCATCTTCACTCACTCAGCCTCTCCCTCAGGCTGGATACTCTAGTGGTTCCAAATTTCCCATTATCGCTCCCAAGGGTATCTCTGTGTATATATGGTTTTTGTTGGCAGTGGTGTTCTTTTAAATTATTTTTCTGGGACAAATTCACAGGGGTGAAATTAATAGGCCAGAGACACACACACAAAAGTTTGATGTCGCAATGCTTTACAAAAAGGTCATGCTGAGCCCTATCTGGTTTGGCTCAGTGGATAAGGGCATTAGCCTGAGGACTGAAGGGTCCCAGGTTCAATTCCAGTCAAGGGCATATACCTTGGTTGCAGATTCAATCCCTAGCCCTGATGGGGGCAAATTCGAAATCAACCAACCGATGTGTCTCTCTCACATCAATGTTTCTTTCTATCTCCCCCCTCCTTCCACTCTCTCTAAAAATCAATGGATAAATAGCCTCAGTGAGGATTAACAAAAAAAACAAAAGTATATATATATATATATATATATATATATATATATATATATATATATAATTATTATTTTTTTTTAATTTAAATTTAGAGAGAGGAAGGTGGGAAACTTCAATGCAAGAGCACAACATCGATTGACAGCCTCACAGGGCACTGAGCCCAAAACCCAGGCATGTGCCCTGACCAGAATTTTGAAGCAGCAACCTCCTGGTGCATGGGCCAACACCCAACCAACTGAGCCACAGTGACCAGGGTGCGATTTTATTTTCTTACTTTGAATTTTTTAAATTGCACATGAGGATAAACATCATTCCATGTTTATTTATTCTTTGTATTTCCAGTGTGGACCACCCTTTACCTATTTATCTATTGGGGTATTCAAGTTTCCTTATAAATCTGAATGAATAGTCTTTCTACAACGTAACAACTTTCCGATTACTTTCCTGTTTAAATGTTACCATAAACACTCTTTTAACGGTTCTAAATTTATACATTCAAATCTATTGTTTGTTTGCTTTGTGACTTTGTCTAGGTCACTGATTTTTCTGACAGATGAGACCCACTTTTAAAGCATTCTTGGCCTCTCTCCACAATTCAAGACTTGGCTTAGGTTTTTTAGAAATTCCAAAGACAAAGAAGAAACTTAAAAACCCGGCCAGGGTGATTTATAAGCACAGTGGGTAAAGTGTTGAAAAGTATTTCAGTTCCTGGCTGGCATGGCTCAGTGGTTGAGCATCAACCTATGAACCAGGAGGTCACAAGTTTAATTCCTGGTTTGGGCACATGCCCGGATTGTGGGCTCGATCCCCAGTGTGGGATATGCAGGAGGCAGCCAATTAATGATTCTCTCTCATCATTGGTGTTTCTATCGCTCTCTCTCTCCCTTCCTCTCTGAAATCAATAAAAATATATATTTTTTATAAAAAAATATTATGGTTTGACTTAACACCAACTAGTTCTGGAGTATAAGAATAGTCCTCGCAGGTGTCACACGAGCGCGCCTCGCCAGGGGTTTGTTACCTGAGGTAGGTGGGGGGCTCCGTGCTGATGGACACGGCCTTGTACTTCTCGTCATTGCCGTCCAGAATCTCTTCCACCTCTGAGGCTTTCAACAGAGTCACGCTGGTGGCCAGGGTCGTGTACCCATGATCTGTAACCAGAGACACGGCTGCGGTCACCCCGCCGGCGGGCCAGCGACCAGCAGTAGCCAGTAGGTGCAGCACATCAAGGTCCTCACATGCAGGAGGTGAGAAAAGCAGGTGTCACCCTTACTGCTGCTGACTGCGGCCTCTTCCAAAAGGGCGCTCTGGGCTGAGCGCCTGGCTGGGAGGTCCCGGTGGGTAGACCCTGAGGGTGTCTGTGGACATGTCAGGGCCAGGAGCACGGGCTCCGGGCAGAGGAAAAGCGGCGGCAGGTGCAGCAGCACAGCCAGCAGGGGCTCTCAGGAGAGAAGGAGGCTCCAGAGGATAACACCAGTGGGAAGAGGTCTGACACCACCGCAGTCACAACACGAAGCAAAGTGGAGAGATGGAATGGAAGATGAAAAGGACTTTTCTTTTAAAACAAGAGCCCAGAGGGTTGGAGAGAGCTGCTGCACATGAACATGCACTCTGGCCCTGGGCCAGGCAGTGCCGTCTGGGAAGCGGGACAGAGTCTAGGCAACTCGACTCAGATCTCTTCCAGGAAACCTGGGTCAAGAGCCGCTACCTGTCTGCGGTCCAGCCTGGCTTCTCCTGGAGACACAAAGCAGGGAAGGGGCAGGAAGCACAAGGCAGAGCAGTCACCAAGGCTCCCTCTGAGATTTGCGGAGGGCAAAGCAAAGCAGGGATTTGCTGCGTTAGTGCCTGCCACTCCACTGGGGGCGGAGGGAGGACAAAAAGGAGTCTTTTTAAAGTGAGCGGAAATGTTAAAGCAGCAGATTAACAAAAGCTCCGGCTCCTGCATTAAAAGAACCACTATTTTGTCCGCAATGGACAAGTCCACAGCAGCACCTAGAAACACACCAACAGGACAGACTGCAAAGCATGCTCTCGCTCTCTCTCTCTCTCTTACATACACTTACACATACACACACACACACACACACACACACACACACTCACGCACACGCACACGCAGCTCTCTACAAGTGGGAATCACTTTCACCATCTGCCGAACACTGTGCTGTGTCCAAACCCAAATGGACCGTGAGCCTCTCCTGGTCGATCGAAGAGCATCCTCTCGCCCCGCACGGAGCTGCCACGGCTGAAGCACGCCAGTGCCTCTCCCGTCACTGGAGTCGGGCTGCTCACCTCGCCAGCCCCAGGCACACCGCAGGCACAACAAGCAGGGACATGCACATGAGCTCAGCACACTGGCTGCCGGATGAAGATGAAACGCTACGGGATGGATGTGCTCTAGGAAGCGAAGCGGTGAAAGCCCCAGAGGGGAGTGGGAGCCGGGGTCCCCACCCGCCGCTCGGGCTGCATGAAGGATGACTATGGCGGTACGCCACGGCAGATGGCAGAGCATCACAGCATTCCTAAAACGTTTTGAGACCAACATGTCTTCACAGCACCCGCTACTGTCCCGGCCCGACCCCCCTCGTGCACCCTCTGGTCCCGTTAGGATACCTGGTGAAGGGCCGCCACGCTCTCGCCTGAGCTGCACGTGGGCCCTGCCCCTAGGATGCTCCTTGCCACGCTAAGGTCAGGGCTGCAGTGAAGACACTCTGGAGTGAAAACGTTTTATCTTCATGACACAAGCGAGTGGTTTTTGAAACAGGTTTACAAACCCTCGTGAAGACGCACCCTTAGTGTTAGGTTTTGTTTTTTTACCATGTGACGATGCAACTATTTTCTTCCTCTCTTCCACAGTGGCTAGTCGCCTCCAGAGCGAGGGGTATCTCTTGTACAGAGAACCTCGGAACATACGGAGGTAGTTTCCCACCTATGGGTAAAGCAAGAAGGCTCATTATGAGGGTCACGTCTCCACGCGGAGGGCAGGGTCCTGGCGCAGAGGCTCCGCCGCAGCAAGTGATGGACAAACAGGCCCTGGATTGGCCATCAGGCACCAGGCTTTCGGCAGCAGTAAAAACGGATCCTGCTGACATCAAGGGTTCAACAGCAGTGCACATCTGGCCCACATCTGGGGCCAATAACATCTGCATGCTGACGACAGGACCAAAGCTCGCGAGGCAGGCCCCCAGTGCTGACCAAGGAGCCCCCAGAGCTCGCGGAGAAGCTTGCAATGATTTGATTTTGGACTCGGGCGCTCTGGCACTTTCCAGGAATGTAAGGCCTCTGCGACTCTCTTTTATCTTTAAAATAAGACTTTGATATTTTTACGATGCAATAAACACCAAAAAGGTCTCTTAATTTTAGTCAGATGCAGGATAATTTCCCCCATGACCCCTGGTGCTTTGTTTAGTAACAAAACTCAAACCAGGGATACCAAAGGAATTTTCCGAAGAGTTTAAAAAGCACTTATCGGCAATCACCAGCGTGCTATATAAATCATTGCTTTCCCAAACAATAGCTTCAGACTGCTTGTACCAAATGCTCAAAGTATGACTTCTTCAATAAAGGGGGAAAAATCTAGGCCCAACGTTTTTATAGAGAGACCCCAATGTCTCACTGACTTTTCCAAAATGATCGCTTCAATCACATGGCCAGAGACGGCCGGGGGAGTGAGTGCCAAGTGCTGGCTCCACCGGACCAGGAGTCACATTCCCTGTCTGGGACAATTTACTTATCTGTCACCCCACAAAGGACCACATCTGCTATTTTCCCACTTACCTACCCATCACAGAACATTTATTAAATAAAAATGTTTCTCCCTTTTTCATGAGTCAAAGATTTCTATGACTGACAACCAGAGCTGTAACCACACGTCCTCACCTGCCACACAGTAGGCACAGACCCCTGTGTGTTATTTGGCTTGAGTGTGGTTACCATTCAAGAGTAAACATAGTTTCCATTAGGTTCTGGAAACACTTTGATGATAACTACCCCCCACCCCCCGCCACCCCACCTTGCAGGTCCCACAGAGTTCGGGGACTCCTAGACCCTTCCTGAGGCCCCTTCAGAGCAGAGGGCAGGGTTTGCCTTTCTGAGTGTTTCCTCAACAACTTTTGTCTGCTCTGGGCCTGGTTTCCCAAATGTAAGATGAAAACATAGACTTGGGATTTTCCTAGAGTCCTTTCAGGTCTGTGACTCTAACCTGGTGGACAGCTGCCGGCAGATGGCAGAACAGTGGCGCACTCACTACACCTGCAGATGCTGTTCCCAGGCCGCTTCACAAACGTGGTATGGCCAGCCCGCCTCTCTGAATATGGTGCCTGTCTCCCGGGGGAGAGGGGTCTGGGGGCCACCCACCCGATGCTGTCACAGGAGCTACAGGATATCAAAGAGCAGCATCCTGATCTTGAACCTTTCCCAGACCTCAAAGGCCCCAGAAAGCAAACTGCCTCTCCCTTCTTCCCTCCGGGTGTCTACTGACTCAGTCTCAGGACAATGTTCTCACGCAACAGGGCTCAAAGAGAAGACTGTCGTTAACTTTCTAGAAACTAAAATGTATTACGGAAAAGATCTCACGAGGCCATCTAGTCTAAGCAACTAATTGTACACGAGAAATGTGACACAGATCCGAAACCGGTTTGGCTCAGTGGATTCGATTCCCGTCAAGGGCATGTACCTTGGTTGCGGGCACATTCCTAGTAGGGGGTGTGCAAGAAGCAGCTGATTGGTGATTCTCTCTCATCGATGTTTCTAACTCACTATCCCTCTCTCTTCCTCTTTGTAAAAAATCAATAGAATATATTAAAAAAAAAAAAAAAAAAAGAATAAAAGAAACGTGCCAGAGGCAGAGCAGAGTTGGGACCTGGACGTTCTTCCCACCTGGCTGCAAACTTCTTCTCAATTTGCTCCACCCAATAAATGAAAGCTTGCTTTTCAACAGTACCACCCTCTCAGGGTCAAGGCCGAACTGACTGCTTTTTCTGCCCATGTAAAGGGTCATGGTTTCCTGCCATGAAACAAGGTAAAGGTTTCTTTAAACAAGCTGCCTATTATCACATACGGAAACTCCTCAACTGCCTTTTGTATCCTGCACTCTCACTGGCTCAATTTCCCCAGCACAGCTATGTTGGAAGAGCAGCGTTTACGTGAGAATGTGAAAAATGTATTGCATCCTGCCCTTTTTGTCTTCTAAAACTGGGTGGAAAATGATAACACTATGTTCTGATGCTGACAACATTGGTGTCATAATTCAATACAACTAAGATAAGCCAGGAATCATAGGGTGTCTGTCCTGAATGCCTGAGTGTGAACCTCATGAGGCTTAATTTATGTTCAAGTGTAAAGAAAAGCAACAAAAATTGCAAAAACGGAGTGGAATGTGGGCGTCCGATACTAACATCTGCTACAAGCGGTAGTAACCCTTGGCATTTTGTAACGCCTTTGCTCTTTAGCTCTCCGAGATCAGCACTTACCTTGTTACCTTGTTACTCGAGAGAAGCTCTACTGCTGGGGATATGCACATTGGGATTGCATAGCCATGATTGTTTCTTTTTTTTAAAAAAAAAAAATACACTATCAGGGGACTTCCTTTAGACCAAAAAAGGCTAGTGTGAGGTAATCTGGAAAAACAATATATTTAGTACAAACTACCACCTAGGACCAGTTGTAGGGTTTTCCTTAAGTCAGTGGTGCAGCTGATTCAACAAAGTGCTGTCACTTCTAGTAAGAATTAAAGATCTTTAGGATTGCCCTGGCCAAGTGGCTCAGTTGACTACAGCAAAATCCAGTACACCAAAAGGTTGGGGGTTCAATTCCGAGTCAGGGCACATATCTAGGTTTTGGATTCAATCCCTGGTCCAGAACATACCAGAAGCAACTGATCCATCTTTCACATCGATGTTTCTCTCTTTCTCTCTCCCTTCCTCTCTCTCTAAAATCAATAGAAACATATTCTGAGTGATGATTAAGAAAAAAAATCTTTAGCCCTAACTAGTTTGGCTGTCGGCCTGCAGACTGAAGGGTCCCAGGTTTGGTTCTGGTCAAAGGCATGCACCTTGGTTGTGGGTACATCCCCAGTGGGGGGTGTGCAGGAGGCAGCTGATTGATGTTTCTCTCTCATCAATGTTTCTAACTCTCTAGCCCTCTCCCTTCCTCTCTGAAAAACTCAATAAAATATATTTAAATAAAAACAAGTCTTTAGGCTCTTTCCCCTGTAATAATAATAATTCAACCAGTTCAAGATATGCAAAGCATCGATTGCTTCTGAACTGCTGATAGACCTAGCTCAGGGACTGGGGTGAAGGTGGGGGTAGGGACGGACGGACGGGGACAGACCGGCCTTATCCACCCAAAGGAAATAGGATGCCCTTATCCACCCAAAAGCAAGCATCCTCCTCCCAACCTATTTCCTCCCCGGTAAACTGGTAAACAAAGGTCAAAACACCTCCCTCCCACTTCAAAGCTACCAACACAGTGAATGAGCCCTCACTAAGCCTCCCCTCTACAACCTGCCCTTTCAGGATCCCAGATAGACCCATGGGGGAGGAGTGCATGTGAGATTTCTTTCCAACATCTCCCTCCAAGAGTCTAAGCAAGACACCCAGTGTCTCTTCCATTTGCCTGGTGTTGCACCAACTTAGCGCAAAACCAGTGGTTGATCGGGCAGCCCTAGCCCTGACAGCAAGGTGCATTCCCCGACTACCAACCAAGAAAAGGGGAAGAGATCAACCAAAGGACGTGTGTGTATGCCTATGGGCCCAGCCAGTGGCCATGGACAACAGGGGGGTGAGGGCATATATCGGGAGGGGTTTGGGATGGGAATGGGAGGGTGAGGACAATTATGTGATACTATAATCAATAAAAAAATTAAAACTAATAATTTTTTTTTAAAGGTTAAGAAAACCCAGAATCTCAGGTGGGCCAGGGGCGGGGCCTAATCGATCCCGCCCTCCCAGTCCCGCCCCCTCGCGCGCGCGCGCGCCCTCCCGCCTCGATGAATGGAGACGCGCGTCCCCAGCGCGCAGACCCGCCCGGAGACTCCCGCGGGCGAGGGCCCGGAAGGAGGGCGCGCGGCTCGGTACCTCGGAGCCGATCATGTAGAACTCGCCGTCGTCCTCGAGCTGGAACTTGACGGGCTTCTGCCCGAAGGTCTTGCTCAGCGCCATCATCATCATTGCGGCGGCGGGGGCGGGCGGCCAAGGCCGCGATGCGAGGGATCGGGAGGGCTGAGGCGTGTCCGGGGCGCGCCCAGTCGAGGGAAGTCGAAGCCGCGAGGCGAAGGGCGGGCCGGGCCGGGCGCTCGCGCCGCCGTCGCCGCCGCCGCCGCCGCCGCCGCCGCCGCCGCCGGGCTCCTGAGCCACCGCCGCCGACGACGACCAGGCCGCCCTCGGTGCGCATGCGCCGGCGTTGACGCTGACGCGCGCGCTTCCGGCGCCCAAACAAAAGGCCTGGGCGCGTGCCCGCGAGCCTCTTAAAGGAGCCGAGGCCCGTTTTTCTCCTTCCAGGCTGCTTCCCAAATCGAGATACCGAGGGGAAATTCCCACTGATGGAAATAGTAACGTAACCGAGGCCCAGACTCAGGCGGTGGCCTTTCCAAAAGTCTCACAGCTGGGACTGGCACTCTGTCCAGGGGAGGAGAAAGGAAGTGAGGCCTGAAGGCTGGGAGGAGGCCCGAGGTAGCTATGCCTCAGTTTCCCCACCCAGAAAACAGTGCCGCTGAGCACCTAAGAGGGCACCTAGGAACAGTTCCTGCTGTGGGAATGGGCAGCATGAGCAAAGGCAGGGTTCCAACGTCCAGGCGATTATTTGGTTTGGCTGGTGCATCAGATGAGTGATGAGGGGAAGGATCCTTCTCCTTCCCTTCCTTAACTTTGCGATTTATGCCTGACAATAAGCTGAGCCTTGACCATAAGACAGCCCTCCCATCTCCCCTAGCCCAGCTCTGTCCCCATCCCGGCCTCCCCAGCACAGAAAAACACTCCAGGCAAACAGGTAGAAAATTATTATGACCATGTTTAATGAGAAACCTCAATTTAAAAAAAAACAAACACAAAAAAAAGGCTTTGTACACATATTTACATGGCTTTGGAAGGTCTCAGTGCTAGGATGAGGGGGATGGGAGGTCTGGCCCATGAGAGGATTGAGGTATGTTGGGGCCTTTAGGGCCCTGGGTCTCCAGCAGGAAGCACCCCGCTCCCCAGCTGACGTCTCAGGAAAGGGCAGGAGGCCACGGGGCCGCCGGATCCATGTGCTAGCACCCTGCAGGAACCTCGAGGCAGGGACAGAGCAGGGGCTCCAGCTCCCGCCGATCCACTGAGGTGCTTTCCTGAGGGACAGGGATAGAGAGCCAGGACAGCTCTCTGAGGTGCGACTGTGGCCTGCACAGGTTGGGTAGAGCAGGCCCAGTCCTGCCCCACCTCTACTGCCAAAGCCTCCCTGCCCAGCCTGAGAGTTGCTGGCAGGTGACCACGACCTGCATGGCCTTCCCTGCAGTTGTCATTAGTGGCAGGACCCCTCCCCACCCCCTGACAAGACACAGGCTCTGTCTCATGCCTGATGCCCACAGTCAGCCACAAAGATGGCCACAGGTCTCTTGGTGAAGCCAGTGGCTGGGCAGGGGTCCGGGGCCCTCAGGGCATCCACGCCGTGGCTAGTGGAAGGTGTTGGCGGGCTCTGCACAGCCGAAGAAATCGGGGCCCACGAGGCGGGGAAAGCCTTCCAGGACCTTCACCTTCACGGGGTCAAACTTCCAGTAGAGGCGGCCGCGCAGGAAGTAGGCATAACCTGAGGAGAAAGGAGGGTCATGTCTGGGCGAGTGGACACTGGGCCTCAAAACCTACTGCTATCAGGCTGTGCTAAGGGCTGGGCACAGGGAGAGGTCCAGGTGGAGGCAGGCCTTGGCCACTGCTGAGTTCCTTGAAACCCACAGGCCTCCAGAACCTCTTTTCCCTGGGGTAAGGTGACCAGGTGTCCCGCTTTTGGCGGGACAGTCCCCAATTCTTTTATTTTATTTTATTTTATTTTATTTTATTTTTTAATTAAAAAAATATATATATATATATATTATTGATTTTTAACAGAGAGAAAGGGAGAGAGATAGAGAGCTAGAAACGTCGATGAGAGAGAGACATCAACCAGCTGCCTCGTGCACACCCCCTACCGAGGACGTGCTGGCAACCAAGGTACATGTCCTTGCCCGGAATCGAACCTGGGACCTTTCAGTTCGTAGACCGACACTCTTACCACTGAGCCAAACCAACTTTGGCTGTCCCGCGGCATTTTAAAAAAGTCTTTTAAAATGCCCCGGGACATGGGACACATTGTTAGAAATCAGGACGTCTGGCCACCTTACCCTTGGGGGACCCTTTCAGCCTGATAGATGGGGGTGCTTTGGAGGCCCCGTTCCTACCTGCCAGAAAAGCAAGTCCCACTTCCCTCGCTGGTCCTCACTCCACTCTTGCACCCACCAGCCAAATACACACAGGTATCCTGAGTCCTGAGGGCGCTACAGGCAACCTAGCGTCTGAGGCCACCACATGGCCGTTCTCCCAACAGGTTCGTCCGTGGGAGAGCACAGAAGCAAGGGGAGAGCACGAGAGAGAGAGCGAGCACTGTACTGCCCAGCCTAGTCCTTGGAGATGGCAGATGGCCCAATGGTTGGGAGCAGGGACTGTCCGGGTGGTGGTCCTAGCTGCCCACTGTCCACCTGGGTGGCCTCATCACCTGAACCCCTGATTGCTCCTCTGGAATCTGGGTTCCTAACGGGTACAACACCCAAGAAGTACATGAGACATTCAGGGAGCTTAGGAGCCTGGAGCATCATCAGTGACCAATAGAGTGCGATGGTCATTCTTTTTGTTTTTGTTTTTAATATATATTTTATTGATTTTTTATAGAGAAGAAGAGAGATAGAGAGTTAGAAGCATTGATGAGAGAGAGTCACCGATCAGCTGCCTCCTGCACCTGCCCCCCTCTCCCCACTGGAGATGTGCCCGCAACCAAGGCACATGCCCTTGACCGGAATCGAACCCGGGACCCTTCAGTCTGCAGGCTGATGCTTTATCCACTGAGCCAAATTGGCCTCAGCACAATGGTCATTTTTTTTTAATTGATTTTTTACAGAGAGGAAGAGAGATAGAGAGAAGCATTGATGAGAGAGAATCATCGATCAGCTGCCTCCTGCACCCCCCGCCTCCCCACTGGAGATGTGCCCGCAACCAAGGCACATGCCCTTGACCGGAATGGAACCTGGGACCCTTCAGTCTGCAGGCTGACGCTCTATCCACTGAGCCAAATCGGCCTCAGCACGATGGTCATTCTTTTTTTTCTTTTTTTTTTTTAATTGATTTTTTATAGAGGAAGAAAGAGGGATAGAGAGTTAGAAACATCGATGAGAGAGAGTCACCGATCAGCCACCTTCTGCACACCCCCCACTGGGGATGTGCCCACAACCAAGGTACATGCCCTTGTTCGGAATCGAACCTGGGACCCTTCAGTCCGCAGGCCGACGCTCTATCCACTGAGCCAAACCGGTTTTGGCACGATGGTCATTCTTACCAGCCATGACCAGGGGGCCTGGGCAAGTCCTTGCACCTCTCTGACTCTCAATCTTATCTGCAACCTTAGTAGTGTGGCACTGCCCTGGCAGGAGAAGGGGGCCTGCTGGGGAGGGTGCTGGACAGAGGGCCCTGATGCAAAACCGATGCTCAGCCGGAACTGGTTTGGCTCAGTGGATAGAGCGTCGGCCTGCGGACTGAAAGGTCCCAGGTTCGATTCCGGTCAAGGGCATGTACCTTGGTTGCAGGCACATCCCCAGTAGGGGGTGTGCAAGAGGCAGCTGATCGATGATTCTCTCTCATCGATGTTTCTAACTCTCTATCCCTCTCTCTTCCTCTCTGTGAAAAATCAATAAAAAATATTTAAAAAAAAAAAAAAAGAAAGAAAGAAATGACGAATAGTGAAGACAGTATTAAAAAAAACAAAAACCGATGCTCAGGCCGCTCAGGGTGGGAGATGCAGCCGCCGCACCGCCTCCCCCAGCCGCCCCACGGCCAACGCACCGTCCGCGTCCTGGAAGGCGGCATCCACCTCGGAGGGCACTCCTCGCCAGTCCGTGGCCCGGCGGGGCGCCTGGCTGTTCACACGGCGGGTGCTGGCGTGGAAGCGCCAGTAGTATCCGTTTCGGAAGAAGTAGATCTTGTTCTTCTCGGAGCCCCAGACCAAGGCTGCGTGGACCGGGGACCACAGCAGGCCCAGCTCAGAGAGGGGGGCGGGGCCTACCACCCGCTTCTCGCCGTCGTACATCCAGTACTGAGCCCCTGCGGAGAAGGGAGGCTGCCATGGGCCACACTGCAGCCATCAGGGGCCTGCCCAGCGGCCGCCGCCGCCAACATCCCCAGCCCGGTTCATCGTCCTGCTTGGCACCCCGCGTGCAGGGGAAGTTGGAGCCAGCAGGAGTAAGCTGGGGTGGTGCAGGCTCTGGGACATACCACGTGAATGAGGTTATTCTCAGTGGCGGAGCGGTGCCCAGGCGCCCGTTCCTTCCCCTGGCATCTGACTGCTCACCACCCCCTGGCCTTAGCTCCGTCCCGGCAGGTCCTGGCCGGGCCTTGGTTTATGAAGTCCCTGCTGCCTGGAATGCTCCAGGCTCTCTGCCAGCTGGAAGTTAACAGCACAGGCACCAGGGTCGCCAGACCTCGATCACATCCCTGCTCTACCTTTTCCAAGCTGTGTCTTTTTAATTATATATATATGTGTGTGTATATATATATATATTATTGATTTTTTTTTTTTACAGAGGGGAATGGAGACGGAGAGAGAGGAATAGAGAGTTAGAAACATCAATGAGAGAGAAACATCGATTCAGCTGCCTCCTACACACTCCCCCCTGGGGATATGCCCGCAACCAAGGCACGTGCCCTGGACTGGAATCGAACCTGGGACCCTTCAGTCCGCAGGCCGACGCTCTGTCCGCTGAGCCAAACCCGTTAGGGCCCAAGCTGTGCCTTTGGGTGAATCATTTCCCTACCTCTGAGCTGGAGGCCAGTGCGTGGCCCGCTGCGCAATACCTTCTACTCTGCGCCCACCTTGAGAGCCGCGCCCTCCGGGAGGCTCCCAGCTGTGTCCCGAGCAGTGAGCCTTGTTCTCCCTCGACCCTGAGGACTCAGAGCGCCCTCTCCCTGCCCACATTTGTCTGTCCGGCCCTTCCCTTGGCCGTGGCGCTCCTGGCCCACTCCCCCGAGCACAGCCCCCACTCACCCTGGAAGAACCAGATATGGCCCTGGGCGTCCTCGAAGGCGGCGTCCACGGGGCTGGGCAGCCCCTGCCAGTGGCGAGAGGCCAGCGCAGGGTAGCCAGGCTGCAGCCGGCCGCCGCGCAGCCGCCACACGAAGCCGGCCTTGAAGAAGAAGAGCTCACCGCGGATGGTGGCTGCCGCGTCGAAGGCCACCTCGCAGACGTCCGGCGGGGCATCCGGCTGGCATGGCGGGGGGGGGGGCGGGGCCGGGAGAGGGTCCACGTTGGAGCCACAGAGGCCAGGGGTTGGAAGAGCTGGCGCAGGGCCTCACTTCCCACCTCCCCGCCCTCCGGCACCTCACCTCCAGCGGCGCGATCTCGTTGGTGTCCACCCCAGCCCGGGGACCCGGGACCGGAGGCCTGGCGCTGGGGGGCGGCCGGGGCCTGTTGGTGTCCACCCCACCCCGGGGGCCCGGAGCCTGGGGCCTGGCGCTGGGGGGCGGCCGGGGCCGGCCGTACAGGTGCTGGATGCCCCTGCGGTCGTCCGGGCTGAGGCCCGGGGGGTGGCCGAAGGTGTAGAAAGGGGCCATCAGGGCCTTGGCAGCCGTCGTGTGCTGTAACCCGAGCACATGGCCGAATTCGTGGGCCGCCACGAGCAGGAGGTCGGTGCCTGGAAAAGAGAAACGGCCTCCTGCATGCAGCGGGTGCCCCGGCTCGGGAACTCGGAGGGTTCCCCCCCCCCCCCCCCCCCCCCCCGTCCTCTCTGATCTTCAGCTGCCCGTCCTGCAGAAACGGTCCCCAGGCCGTACCCTGGTCGTCCCCGACAGTCCAGGTCTCATCGTAGTCGAAGTGGACGTCCCCTTCCCGGTTGGTCTTGGGGAAGAAGGCGTGGGCCAGGACACCCCCGGGTCCGTCGAACGGCAGGTCGTCCCCATGCCAGTACCTGCGGCAGGGAGGGGACACGCGGGGGAGGGAAGGACGGGAGGGGGGTGCAGAGTCAGCAGCTGCTGACAGCGGGGGCGGCCGGGCGGGGGGGTGGGGGTGCAGAGTCGGCAGCTGTTGGCAGCTGGGGCTGTTCCCGGAGGGCCTCCAGGCCCCCGGTGTACCTGGTGAAGTCGATCATGATGTCCGCACGGCCCTCATGCACTTCCGTGAAGGTGAGCGGGGTCACGTCGCTCCACACCTTCAGGGCCTCTGCCATTGTCCGCTGCACCTGCCCCCGCACCAGCTGCCACGGGTACCGGAGGATCCTGGGAGGAGGAAGAGGGGAAGCCTGGGCCTCACTCAGGGCAGGGGCAGCCCCTGGTGGTTACTGGGCCAGCGTCGCTCAGCGGGGGTGGCAGGACACAGGACACAGACCAGGTGAGCTGCAGGCGTGGTGCACGCACGTGGGTTTGTGTCCTTGGCGCACACAGATGTCCGCATTCAGTGGGACTGAACACGGGATCCGGGGGCCCCCAGTCCCACCTGTAGACCTGACTGTACTGCTTGCTCACTGTGGGGTGAACTTGACCCTTTGACCTGCCCCCTCGCAGTTCCCAGTTCCCACCCAAGACATTTCTGAGGCCCCCAGCAGTCACGTGATAGCGCAGTGGTCTCCGTGTGGCTTCTCTCCCCAAACAAGTCCCCGTCTGCACGAGGCAGACGTCCCAGCTTCTGCCTCACTCCCAGGGGCCTCAGGTCACCTGAGCTATATTACCCGTCTGTCCCCTCAGCCCTGCCCCGCACCTGCATCAGGATCCTGAATCAGGGTGCTAGATTGGAACCACAGCAAGGTCAATGCCAAGCTCCCCCAGAGGACAGGTTGTGGCCGCCTCATTTCCCATGGAGCCCTGGGGCCTGGCCCTTCGCAGGTGCCCACAGAAGCTGCCTGTACCCTGAGAGCTGCACGCCAGCAGGTCTGCGGGGCGGCCAGCCACGGGCTGACCGAGCTCTGTCCCTCTGTCGTGGGAGGGCACATGTGTGGAGGGGTGCTGTCTGTGGGTGCCGCTAAGTTGGGGTTCAGGAGTGTTGGCCCATGGCTGGCTCAGGGGCCAGTGGACACACAGGTTTGTCAGCCACGGATAGCTAGCGTGCCTCCCGAAGCAGGCGTGGTGGGGGGGGACACACACACACACACACAGACACACACTCAGCGTTCTGGCTTTCGCTCAGGGCGGAGGGCCCTACCTGTAGGTGAGGTCCGTCTTCTCCCAGCGCCCACCCGACAGCACGAACCTCTTCTTTCTGTTGCGGGCACTCAGCCTCACGGGCGGGTCAGGCACGCCGCAGTGGGGCTGCCTGGGGCCCCCGGCGGGACCAGGAGCCTCCTGTGCAGCGGGGGCAGGTGCCAGGCTGCTGGGGGAAGCTCCATGCCAGGCCTGCGGCCCCCTCCTCAGCAGGCGGTGGCGGTGGGTGTCCTGGGCAGGAGAGAGAGGATGGGGGGGGGGCGGGGGCAGGTCAGGCCTCTACTCCTCATGGCTCCCTGTTAGGGCTGTGGGCTGTCAGCCCCACACTCAGCCTCAGGCCGCTGTGTCTCACTGTCGCCCTGCAGGCCCTTCAGCATGGGAGGACTGGTTTCCAGCCTCCTGCTGCCTGCCATTCCGGCCTGGAAGGGCCCAGAACTGCCTGCCGCCTGCTGCGGCCATTTGGGCTGATGAGGTCTGAGTGCCGGCCCAGAGACCACCCTCTCCTCAACCCCCAGCAATAGACCCCACAACGCTCTGAGGAGAGGCCAGGCAGTGCCTCCTGCTTCCCCACGTCTCCCCCCATCATCCTACCCCCCCGCCCCAGCAAATGCCATCTACCTCCGGAGTCCCCTCCCTTCCAGTCCCAGCCCCCACGTCCCGTAAGCTACCCCTGCCCAGACTCCCACCGCAGACACGTGTGGAGGGGCTGCAGCTGTGCCTCGATTTGCTCACCTGACAAATGGGGCTAATTCCTCCCCATCGTGTTGGTCTGAGGATGAGCCAAGGTCATGCATTTAAAGCACGCAGCCTGGGGCCGGGCACCCAGGGCTGGGTGCACAGCAGGGCTAGCTGTGGTCTGCCTGCCTGCTCCATGCCTGAGTGTGTGTGTGTGTGTGTGTGTGTGTGTGTGTGGAGAGAGAGAGAAAGCAGGAGAGAGAGAGAGAGAGAGAGAGAGAGAGAGAGAGAGAGAGAGAGAGAGAGAGAGAGAGAGAGAAAGCAGTTGCCAGCTGTCCAGCCCCAGCCAGAGCCCCAGTGATTCTGACCTGGAGGTGCCACCCTCTGGAAGTCCCAGGGTTCATGAGAAAGTTCTATGAAGTTCTATAAAAAAGTGGAAGCTCTGAAAGGCTGGGAGACCCTGTGAAACCCTCCAGCGAGGGCGTGGCCGGGCCCGGTGAGGACTCTGGCTGCAGACCCTGCAAAGCCGGAGGAGAGGTGCGTGGCGCTGTTTGCTGCGATACCCGGTGGCTGTCTGGTCTGGGCAGCCGTGGCCTCCCCACAGCCATATTTGGGGTGGGAGCCGGGCCGCCCAGGCCCCACCCTCAGCCTTGGCCTCGGCTTCAGCCTCAGCCTCTGGCAGCTCTCCCAGGCCCCGGGCTCCTGATCAGCATCCTCACCCCCCTCCCTCAAGCTCCCAGTTATGAAGCCACCAACTCAACGCCCCAGAGCCACCCAGACTCAACCCCCCAGAATACCCCACTACGAAGGGGTCTCCCGAACCCCTAGGCAGGCGGCTATGGGGCTACTTGGTGTGTGGGGCCCAGGACCAGTTTTCCCTCGATCTGAGCTTGCTTATTAAATGGTTGGTTCCTGCCAGAACCGGTTTGGCTCAGTGGATAGAGCGTCGGCCTGCAGGCTGAAGGGTCCCAGGCTCGATTCCGGTCAAGGGCATGTGTCTTGGTTGCGGGCACATTCCTGGTGGGGAGTGTGCGGGAGGCGGCTGATGGGTGTTTCTCTCTCATCGATGTTTCTAGTTCTCTGTCCCTCTCCCTTCCTCTCTGTAAAATATCAATAAAATATAATATAAAAATAAAATAAAAAATAAATGGTTGGTTCCTGGGTTGTGGGTACCATCCCATACTGGGCTTCCTGCCATTAAGTACTCATCACTGTTGCAGTTCACCTGTATGGAGGCCAGGTCCCTGCCCACAGCTCCACGGGCATGCTCTCAGCCCATGCTGGGGCCGCTCACCAACCCCACCTTCATCACGCCCATTTCTCAGACGAGGAGGTGGAGCCCAAAGAAGCTCAGCGATCTGCCCCAGTAACGGCTGGCAGACGGCAGGCTGTCGGGGCTCGCAGCCCGCCCTCCCTGCCCTTGGGGCTGGAGTCACCCCTCTCCTGCAGGAGGGACCCAGGGGCCTCGCCTTGGTGAGGAAGAGAAGGCGTGGGAAGATAGTAAGCACCCACTACTTCCCCGGCACCTTGCAGGCGGGCTCATTGGACCTCCCGCTCCTCCCATAAGGTCTCACAGATGAGGATGTGGGCCCAGGTTTGTGTGAGCAGCCACAATGGCCTGCCCCTGCCCCTCCCCACACCACGCCCTTGACCTTCAGGGTACAGTTTCCTTCCCCACGCTGGGGCTGGGGAAAAGGACCCTCCCTGGGAAGGGCGTGGCCAGCTCTGTGTATGCCCCTGGGCAGGAATCTCTCTCTCTCTCTCTCTCTCTCTCTCTCTCTCTCTCTCTCTCTCTCTCCCCTCCAAGCACACCCCCAGAGACTGTACTCTCAGTGCAGTAGAAAGAGCCACAGACTGAGATTCATAAGACCCCGTTCTATGCCACGGCAGCCCGGGACAGAGCGGCCCTGGGCAAGCCACTGTCCTCTTTTAGCCTCGATTTCCCCAGCTACCCAACGGGAACGGTGCCAGGGCCACGGGCGGCACGGCCTCCTTCCGTAACGCCTGCTGCAGCCCCTGGCAGGGCATCTTCTCTGGCTCCGCACCTTGCCTCTGGGAGCCCTCCTGTCCGACACCTGGGGACCTGCTGTCACCAAATTCCCACCCCCTACCTGGCACCGGCTCCCCCAGAGTCTCCGGCTTTCCATCGTGAAATGGGGGTTGCGGTCGGAAGGGAGCTTGCAAACCCAGAGAAGAAGAGTGACCTCTGCAGCGTCTCCCCACAGGCAAAGGCCTCCCGCTCCCTCTCTGTGTGGCCGTCATGGGCCTTGGAAAGAGAGTGAGCAGAAGGCTCTAGAAAGAGGGACTCCAGCCAGTAGGATCTTTTGGGGGAAGCCCATCACTTAAGAGCTCTTGGCCTCTTTCCCCCCCCATTCCTGGGATGGGACACAGGCTCCCTGCCCTGCTGACCTCCCACGCTGCACCTCTCGAGTCCTTCCTGGCCCGGGCCCACAGGACTTGGCTGTGAGGCCTGGCCCCGGGCAGCCCACTGATTCCTCAGGTGGGCATGCTGGTCCTCCCGGGGCTGCTGGGATGCAGAGAGCTGGGTGCTGGGCCCTGGGGGTCAGGGATCAAGCAAGCATTTTCCAGAGCCCAGAGAGGTCAAGGACTTTACCCAGGGTCACACAGCAAGTGCGGCAAGAGCTGGTCCTAGATCCAGAGCTCAGCCTTGCCCACCTCCCCAGCTCTCCTTGTACCCCCTTAGCTCTCGGCCTGTCTCCAAACCCCACGGTGCTGAGAAGCGTTTGGTGCGCCCCCTCCTCCTGCGCCAGCATCCGCCCGTGGCCCGCCCGTGTGCCGGGAGCCCAGCTTGCTCACCCCGTCCTCCGGCAGGCACCAAACCACAGCCTCAAACATCCTCGAGGAATTTCTTGGCTGAGCTCAGAGGCTCAAGGTCAGCCTCCGGGACAACTTCCAATCGGGAAAATGGGAGGCATCCGGTAGAGGGGAGATAAAGGAGGACCCCAGACTAGGAGGCTGCTGGTAGAGCCAGAGGAGCAGAGCCCCTCCATGGGCCTCAGTTTGCTCCTGGTCCAACAGAGATCGTTAACCACCGCTGTGCCGTCTGCTGTTGGCAGGAGGTGACCCTGCCAGGAGGCGGTGAGGAGGACAGGGGAGCATCACCACGCCGTTCTATTTAGCATCAAGCCCCTCTGAGGCTCAGAGAGGCCAAGCAACCTGGCCAGGTCACACAGCCAGTGGGCAGGCAGGTCCGTCTTCTCCCCAATGCTGCAGCCTAATCTTCTCCTTCTCACCCCCCTTTCCCCCCCCCCCCCCCAGCTGGTCCCAGGGGCTTCGGGGCTTTCATCAGCCCTGAAAGCAGCTGAGCTGCGATGGATAAATATTTACATAGCTTCCCTGGCCCTGCCAACAGCGGCCTGCGGATAAACACATTGGGGCGACCCCAAATGCTCTCTGCATATCTGCAGGGACAGGCAACAGCCCGGCTCAGGCCTGGCCCCGACTGACCCTGCGCAAACATCAACGGGGGCAGCTCCAGGTGACGGGATGTCTCCAGAGTGCCTGGCTGTCCCACTCCTCAAAGCATCTCATTTAATGATCAATGCCCAGTGGGCACTGTGACCTCTCACCCGCTTCGCACAAGACTGAGAGGGTGGGGTTCAGAGGCACAAGAGGGCTCACCGTGAGTCACCTGGTTCAAGCCCAGATCTCGCCCATTTCTGAACCCGTGGGTTCAACTGCCCCATGATCTAGGGAGCTGCGAGGGGCTGGGGAAGAGGCAAAGCTTCCAGACTGAGGTGCCTCACACTCACCCTGCCCCATGCATCCCATCTCCTCAGCCAGAGGGCAAGGCTGGCCAGGGCAGAGCTGGTGGGGAGGGCTGACCAGAGGGGCCCAGCCTAGTCAGACTTCCCTCCTCACCAGGCCACACTCCTGCTTAGCACACCTCCTCCTCATTGTTTCCTACCTGCCTGACTGGATGGCTACCCTGTCAGCAGGGGGTGGGATTCAGCCAGAGCCTGCAGGTGCCCAGGCTCTGACTCCAGGCTCTGCCTGGCCACCCCTGTCACTGGTCCCTCACAGCCTCAGCTTGAGGGGTGCATTCAGCTTTCTGGGCACATGCAGGCTGTGTGTCCCCTCCTCCCCCCAGGACTTGCCTGGCTCTTCTCCTCTCTCACATGGACTCGCTTCTTTAGCTCACACATCCTCCCCCCTTCCCTTGCTCTCCCACCCCTTTGCCCCCTGAGATTCTCAATTTTCCACCCTTGGCCCGGCTCCTGCCTCACTTTCTCTCAGTCCTGCACACACACTGCGGCTCTCATGCTCAGGCTCCCAAACCTGCCAGCGGCAGGTGCCTAGGCTCAGACTCCAGTCCCCCCAGTTCTTCCTGGATCCTCCAGCCCACTGCTCACCTGCCACACGCCTAGAGGCTGACACCAGCCCGGGACCTGCTCTGCTTTGTCCCTGATAGAGTGGCCCGTGACCCCGCCCCTCTGCGGCTGCCCCGGAACACCCCAACACCTGCGGCTGCGGCTGGGGCGCCGAGGAGCGGGTTCCCACGCTGCCAGGGGGCGTGTGTCCAGCGCCGAGTCCCGCCTCGCCAGCAGCCCCGAGGCGGGAATCCCCATGCACGCTCCACTTGCACACCTCCTGGGACGGGCAGCTCACTCTCTATCCCCCCGCAGGGGACCCAGGAGAGGGTTTGGATAACGGGCGGCTCCGGGGGGAGAGGGGGGTCACCGGGGCGCCCCGTGGGTTCAGCTCGGTCTTTGGGCCCGGCCCGCGTGCCCGGGGCACCCCTGGCCGGGAGCGGGCGGCCGGCGGCGGGGGCGGGCACTCACCGGCGGCCGCGGGGCCCCCGCCAGCGGCGGCGGCGGCAGGAGCAGCAGCAGCAGCGGCAGCAGGAGGGCGCGCGGGGCCGCGCCGCGGAGGAGCCGAGTGGCCCGAGCCATCCGCCCCGGGGCTGCTGGGCCTGCTGGGCCGCTCCGGCCGCCGCCCCTTATAGCCCGCGCCCCGCCCCCGCCCCGCCCCCCGCGCCTTTTGTTCCCAGCTCGCCCCGCCGCCCGCCCGGCAGGGGGACGTGGAGAGGGAGCTGCCGGCCCGGGGCAAGGGGCCTGGGGCCCCGGAGACATCCCCTCCCTTCCCCCCGGACTAACCAGGGGGCAGGCTGAGCCTGTGGGCTGAATCGGCCTGGGGCTGGGTGACCCTGGCCAAGGGGTACTTGCTCCGGGCCTCAGTTTCCCCACAATGTGCGGCGGGGAGTCAGAGAGGAGTGGAGGTGCACGCCTGCCTCCTGGTCCCCACCCCCGTCTTTGGGAGGCGCATCCCCGGCAGGTCTCCCTGGTGGCCTGGCCTCTGAGCTCCCGGGAGCCTGCGACAGGTGGTTGTACCCACGGGCAAGTTCCTACTCGGAGCCTTGCTGAGAAAAGGAGCAGTGAAATGTGGCCCAGGGCCGAAACAGGTTTAGCTCAGTGGATAGAGCGTCAGCCTGCCGACTGAAAGGTCCCGGGTTCGATTCTGGTCAAGGGCATGTACCTAGGTTGCGGGCACATCCTCAGCGGGGAGCGTGCAAGAGGCAGCTGATGGATGTTTCTAACTCTCTATTCCTTTCCCTTCCTCTCTGTAAAAAAATCAGTTAAAATAAAGAAATGTGTCCCAGGGGAAACCGAGGCATATGGAGACTGGCCAGGCCCCCCAGCTATGGGACATAGACAATTTATATCGTCCCAAAGCCGGGGGGGGGGGGATGGTGTCCACTTGCTGGAAGGGGCTGGCCGTCTTCGGCTCCCTGTGATGACCAGGCCTTACCATCGCACCAGGCTGCCTGCTTCATCCCAGGCAGCACCGCTGAGCCAAAAAGCAGGCGGTGGCTTTTGTCCTGGTGGGCAGGGTCCCGGGTGTCACACGGTGAGGCTGTGGGCACCCAGCCTAAGGCCTGGGGAGGGAAGGAGGCCGGGAGGGAGCAGAGGACAAGCAGATTGATTGGTGGATTGAACCCTGGGTCCTGGTCCCAGCCCCCTGGGAGCCTTCACAGCTTCCCCAGGAAGGCTCCACAGCGACGCCCAGAGGACGCGGAGGTGGCTGACAGCAGAGCGTTTTACTACGTCCTAACGGTTAACAATATTTTGTTTCAAGTGACTCACTTTTAAAAATTGAAATACTTGCTGGGACTGGTTAGACTCAGTGGATGGAGCGTCAGCCTGTGGACTGAAGGGTTCCAGGTTCGATTCTGGTCAGGGCATGTGCCTTGGTTGCGGGCACATCCCCAGTGGGGGATGTGGGAGAGGCAGTTGATTGATGATTCTCTCTCATCAATGTTTCTAGCTCTCTATCCCTCTCTCTTCCTCTCTGCGGAAAATCAATAAAATATATAAAAGAAAAAATCTTAAAAATTGAAATACTTCAGCTTCCTTCTTAGCAATATTGGTCAAGAAATCATGGGTTTGGTGAGAGAATTGTACATTTCCCTGATAGGCATGAAAAGGTAACTATTTCAATAAAAAGGTTTATTAAGTGGTCTCCAGGGCATTTGGGAGCCTGAAATCCACCATTCATGAGAGCGGAAGTAGCAGCCACCTTCAGGGCAGGCCCAGGGAGGTGGGGGGGGAGGTGGTTACAAGCTAACCATGCACTCAGTAAGGTGGTCTGGTCACTGAGGGCTCCCTGCCAGAGGAGGACCCTGCTAAGCCTTGAAGGAGGAGCCCATTTGGCATATTGGAACAGGTGGGCAGGGACGGCAGGAGCAAAGAAGTAGGGGCTGGACCAGGACTGGCATGTCAGCTCTGCCCTAGCTGGTTTCGCTCAGTGGATAGAGCATCCCAGGTTCAATTCCAGTCAAGGGCACATGGTTTCAGGCTCCATCCCTAGTAGGGGACGAGCAGGAAGCAGCCGATCCATGATTGCTGTCCTAGGCTGCCCGTGCCTGGCGTGCATTTTGGCCAGGAAAGAGTCGAAGACGGGTTCCGGACGCCCCCTGGCGGGGTTTCTGGATTCGGGTCCCACTAGGCCTTCCCCCTTTCCATCCCTGCCCCCCCCCCCCCCCCCCCGGCACCTCTTCGCAGCTCTAATCCGAACCCCACCCCCACCCCCGCGACCCTGGGACCGCACAGAAGTCCGCAAACCGGCTGGCGCCCCGTGCCCGCTCCCAGGCGGGCCTCCCCCGCTCGCCTCTCCCTCTGCGCCCTCCGCCTGGCACGGGACAGCACCCACTCCGCTCCCTGCGCCTCGCGATCGCCCCGCGAAACCCCTCTGCGCCCGGCGACATTGGCGCCGGTCCCCGGGGCGCACACAGCTCGGGACAGGCGCAGGGAGGGCGCAGAGCCGGGTTTCCAGCTGAAACGGCCGCGGAGAGCCGGGGGGCAGGCTGCAGGAGGTGAGCCCGGCCCCCCGGGAGCGAGGTGCCGCCGCGCGCCCCGCCCCGCCCCCTGGGGCGTGTCTCTCCGAGGCCCCGCCCCTCGCGCGCAGCAGTGACCCGCGGTGCCACGCCGGCCGCGGAGACAGAATCGCCACCCGCGTTGCGGTCTCTGGTCAGCTCCGCCGAGTCCCCCCGCCACGACCATGCCCCGCGGGAGCCGCAGCGTGGCCGCCCGGCCGGCCAGGTGAGAGGGGCCGGGAGGCGCCCCTGGAGGAGGAGGAGGAGGAGGAGGAGGCGGCGGCTGGGGAGCGCGTGCTCTCCAAGGGCGCGACGGCGTGACCTTGGGGACGCCTGCGCCATCTTAGCGGGGGTGCGGGTGGGGTGGGGGTGCGAGAATGCCGCGACCACGTGTCTTTAAGACGCTGTCACCTACCCTCCTGAGGAGGGAGGGGGGCCAGGTCCAGGGGCTGCAGGCCCCTCCGGGCCCCCTGGCCTGGGCTCGGGCCAGGATTAACCCTGCGTCTTCTTTCCCCCCCCCCCCCCCGCAGCCGCCCCGCCGCACCTGCCGCCCACCCGCCCGCCCACCCTCCGCCCTCGGCCGCCGCGCCGGCGCCCGCCCCGTCGGGCCAGCCGGGCTTGATGGCGCAGATGGCGTCCACGGCCGCCGGGGTGGCCGTGGGCTCGGCCGTCGGGCATGTCATGGGCAGCGCCCTGACCGGAGCCTTCAGCGGGGGGAGCTCGGAGCCAGCCCAGCCTGCCGCTCAGCAGGTGAGCATTGGGGTTCCCCTCCCCTGCCCCCCGAGAAACTGAGGCCCACCTCTCGGAAGGCCGCAGAGCAGGGAGGCAGCTGGAATGTCCACCGAGTTGTGTCCCGGCATTTTCCTGAGCTGCCTCAGGCTCAGGACTTTGCCCAACCAGGTTCCTATTTCTCACTCCGCTGTCGCCCTTCTATGGCTCACAGGCTGGCTCTCCCAGACCCTCCCCCCAAGGCCAAGGTCCCTGGACTCCCAGGGACAGGTGCCAATGGGCCCTTTAGGGATGGGGAAACCTCGTGACGCTAGGGTGCAAGGTCAAAGGAGGGATGTGGAAATTCCCCAGTCTTCCCTCTCCCCATCCCACGTCAGGCGCTGTCCGATGGTGACTCTGGGGCCTGCTCCCTGCTGACCCGTCACCCACTGGGCACTCCACTAGCCCTGAGCCAAATGCAGATTTCGTGGCAGGGTCAGGGGTCACGAGGATCGGCATGGCTGAGCCGGGAAATTGCTAGAACTTATGGGGGTGGGGCTCATACTCGCTGGGCTTTTCGAGATTCTTCTCCTGCCCCTCCCACCTGCCCCACATGCCCCTACCAGGCAGCAGGGAGACGCTGTCTAGCGTCAGCCGAGTGGCTCTGAGAGGGCTGTGGGGCTCACACCCTGTCTAACGGATGGGCCAGTCAGCCTGCCTGGAGTTTTGGGGCTCCCGGGCTGGGGTTGTGGGGAGGGAGAGGGGGCACCCAGCTTTGGAACCCACTTCTCATGACCAACCTTGAGCTGACCTTGCTGCCTCCTGCGTTGCCACCCACCGCAGGCCCCTGCCCGTGCCACCTCCCAGCTGGGGCCCTGCGCCTATGAGATCCAGCAGTTCCTGGACTGCTCCACCACGCAGAGGGACCTGACCCTGTGTGAGGGCTTCAGCGAGGCCCTGAAGCAGTGCAAGTACAACCATGGTGAGCGAGCCATCAGCCCCCGACCCGGGGCAGGGGGGGGGAGCAAATTAGGGGGGGGTCTGTGAGGGACATCCCCTCTCCCTCTGCCTTTGGGCTGACCACCGGTCCATATCACTTCCCCCCTCCACAGGTCTGAGCTCCTTGCCCTGAAGAGACCAGGGGGCACAGTGGTGCGGATTGGAGCAGATTTGGGTCCAGCTCTGCACTCAACTCTACCCCTTCACCGACAGCCAGACCAAAATGCCAGAATGTACCCACGTAGCTCACCCCATAGATGACCCGAGACACAAATGTGCAATTAAAAGTTTATCTTAGACCAGAGCCCGCTGTGTGCCGTCTCACTGGCCGGTCTGCCCGGGAGCGCGGTGGTTGAAGGTGGGGGGGGCGGGGGATGATTCACACACCGCCTCCTGCGTGGAAGGAGGAGCCCGGCTGTAACCCCGCAGCCCTGAGCCGTCTGCGCGGGCAGTGAGGCATTGGCAGGTGACTTACAAGGTGTCTGACTCCGGGAGCTGGAATTCCCAGTCATCTACTCTCCTAGGGATTCCTCCCCTCCCCTCCCTCCCGACCTTTTTTAAAATTTTATTTTAAAATATATTTTTATTGTTCAGAGAGGAACGGAGAGGGATAGAAACATCCATGATGATGCCAGGACCGGTTTGGCTCAATGGATAGAGCGTTGGCTTGGGGACTGAAGGGTCCCAGGTTCAATTCCGGACAAGGGCATGTACTTTGGTTGCGGGCATATCCCCAGTAGGGGGTGTGCAAGAGGCAGCTGATTGATGACTCTCTCATTGATGTTTCTAACTATCTATCTCTCTCCCTTCCTCTCTGTACAAAATCAATAAAATATATCAAAAAAGAAAGAAAGAAAGAAAGAAACATCCATGATGAGAGAGAATCATTGACTGGCTGCCTCCTGCATGCCCGCTACTGGGGGTGATCGAGCCCACAACCCCGGCATGTGCCCTTGACCCGAATTGAATGGGGGACTCTTCCTTTCCCAGACCAACGCCCTATCCATTGAGCCAAACCAGCTAGGACCGGCCCTCCCCCTTCCTTGTCTCTGCACCCACACCTGAGGGGTCCGCAGCCGCCTCGCAGCCTGTCTGTGATCTCGCTCCTCTAGCTGATAGAACTCCATCATCCCAGACTTCCTGAGAGGCATGCTGCCCGGCTGCTGTCTGTCTGGGCCTGATTAACCAAGGCAGAGGTCACGGCCAGCCCCCTGGGATCTGGGCCTAGCAGGGCCTCTGGGGTGTGCTGGGACACCGTCTCGGGGCTGCTGGGACAGAGGAGCACGCGCCCTGTCCCACGTGCTGTGCTATTGCCTTCTGGGAATTCATCCGGCAGCTCTGCGTCGAGGCTTTGGTGAATGCCAGTCTCAGGCGCCATCCCCTGGGCACTGAGGATGTCCTTGCCCTTGGGCACTTCCACTCCCGTGGGGTGGTGGGTGCCCGCCTCCGGGTACACTGTGTTCCACCTTTCATGTGATGGGGGTTGAGAGTGGGGGCCTGTTCACCTCTCTCAGGACATGGGTGTCCGTCTCTGGGGAAAGGGTCCCCCTTCTGGGTGCGCATGTCCCCCCAGGTACCCATGTCTCTCCCTTACCCGGCGTCTGGCCCCAGCTAGCGGGGCCTGGGCAGCAGCGAGCCCAGCCGTTGGGACCTTGACGGACGGCCTGGGTCCTGGTGGCCACGCCGGGTGCCGGTACGAGTGCCTGTGCGCCTCCTCCGGCCGTTGCCCAGCGGGGGGAGGCCTGACAGGCCGCGCAGCACCTCTGAGAGGCCCAGGAAGCCCTGCCTGTCAGGGCTGGAAGAAGATGCTCCTCCCTTCCCTCTCCCCCCCCCCCCACTGCCCCTCGGGCTCTGCCATGACACTCACCGGCCAGCTCCGGACAGCGGTCCTCCAGGTTCTCCAGCAGGGACTCATAGCGCGTGGGGGCGCCCCCCTCCCCGCCTGTGGGCGGAGGAGGAATGGCTCCCGACTGGCCCCTACTTCTCCCTGGCTCAGGCTGGGGTCAGGGCTAGGTTTTGGCCAACGTGAGGCGCTGGGTCGGGCCTTGGGTGGTCCCCCTCTTACGTTCCAGCCTAACTGCAGGGGGAGGGGAGCAGGTCGCAGGGCCACTTACGGATGATCTGCACGAGGACGTAGGTGCCGCGCTCCTGCAGCAGCGGGGGGCTGCCTGGGGAGGGGGCCTGGGACGTCCCCTCCTCCAGGCCATCGCCCAGACTCACCAGGTGCCCATCCTCAGCCAGGAGGGCGATGGTTGCTGGGAGGGTAGGGAGGGAGGCAGGGCGGGGCTGGCACCCATGGCTGGCACCCAGCCCTAGGCCCCCACCTCATCACCCCTCCTTGCCCCTCACCGTCGGGAGGCACCCGCCCCCTCTGCCGCAGGTGGGTGGTGAGAGTCACCCGGCTGCACCACGGGTTCACCAGCTCCCGGCAGCCAGCTGTGGGAAAGGGGCAGAGGTGAGTGAGTGGGACCCTCTACGTTCCCCCACTCTGGGACCCTCTGTATCCCCCATTTCTCTCTCTCTCTTTTAAAATATATATTTTATTGATTTTTTACAGAGGGGAAGGGAAAGGGATAGAGAGTTAGAAACATGGATGAGAGAGAAACATCGATCAGCTGCCTCCTGCACACCTCCTACTGGGGAACATGCCCTTGACCGGAATTGAACCTGGGACCCTTCAGTGGGCAGGCCTACACTCTACCCACTGAGCTGAACCAGTTAGGGCTCTCTCTCTCTCTCTCTCTCTCTCTCTCTCTCTCATTTAAGTGATTTGTTTTATTGAAATAAAATTTACATCGTATTAAATCCACCATTGTAACCAAATGACGATTCAGTGGCATTTAGCACATTCACAGAGTTGTGCGACTATCACCGCTGTTGCGTGTGGGTTTTTTTTAAACCTCAAGTGAGAATATGTCTTACAGATTTTATTTTATTTTATTATTATTTTTTAATATATTTTATTGATTTTATACAGAGAGGAAGGGAGAGAGATAGAGAGTTAGAAACATCGATGAGAGAGAGTCATCGATCAGTTGCCTCTTGCACACCCCCCACTGGGGATATGCCTGCAACCAAGGTACATGCCCTTGACCGGAATCGAACCCGGGACCTTTCAGTCCCCAAGCCGACACTCTATCCATTGAGCCAAACCAGTCCCGGCATGTCTTACAGATTTTAGAGAGAGGGGAAAGGAGAGAGAGAAAGGAAGAAAAGCATCGACATAGGAGAGAAGCATTGATGGGCTGCAACCGCGTGCACTCAGACTGGAGATGGGACACCTGAAAGGTCCCAGGTTCGATTCCGGTCAAGGGCATGTACCTTGGTTGCGGGCACATCCTCGGTAGGGGGTGTGCACAAGGCAGGTGGTCGATGTTTCTCTCTCATCGACATTTCTAGCTCTCTATCTCTCTTTCTTCCTCTCTGTAAAAAAATCAATAAAATATATTAAAAAGAAAAAAAAAGAAACATCAATGATGAGAGAGAATCATTGATTGGCTGCCTCCTGCACGCCCCCTAGTGGGGATCAAGCCCACGAACCGGGCAGGTGCCCTTGACTGGAATCGAACCCTTGGACCTTTCGATCCACAGGCCCACGCTCTATCCACTGAGCCAAACCAGCTAGGGCTTTTCTTTTCAATTAGAGTTTACATTCATCATTATTTTGGGTTTCAGATGTACAGCAGAGTGGTTCTCCCATCTCTTAACCGGAGCCCCCACCCGTCTCCGGAGAGATCAGTGATGGGTGCATAGCTCATGCCGCCTGCACCAGCCACCCTCCCCCCATGGACTGCCTCCCGCAGAGAGCTGGGAGTCTGCGCCGCGGCTGGAGCGTCAGGTGCCTGCTGCACCCTGAGCTGGAGGACCACTGACTGAGTCAACAGCGAGGAGCTGTCCGTTGTAGCATCTCCATGGTAGCACAGCGGTGTCCTAGGAGTGGGGCAGGTGAATTTCCGGGTGCCCAGCCAGGGTTTTCCCCTCCAGGGACTCACTCCAGGAACCAGCTCTGCTTCCTCACGGAGCTTCTTCCCCGAACCCCTACCCCTCTTACCCCTCACTGCCTCCCCCGCCCCAGGGCAGAGGGAAGCAGCTGAGGGTACCATTCCCTGACCCATCGGCAGGGACAGGGGACCCCACTTACCTCCAAACATCACGGTGATGAACATGGCTGCAGGGGAGTACTCTGACTGCTGACTGAGGAAGGGCCTGGGGCTCAGATCTATTCAGGGCTCAGGCCCTGCTGGGAGGTGCAGTGTGTGGGGTGGATCCGTGGGTGATACTCAGGCTGAGGTCCCTACTTGGCCATCCTTGGGGCTGGGCTCCTGCCGTTGGCCAGGCCCTTGGCCTCCTCTTCCTCCCGCTGGCCGGGGCAGAGTAGTGGGAGGGAACAGAGGCCTCCCAGCTTCCACGCTGGTCTCCATGGCCCTGGGAGCCGCCGAGACCTCCAGGCAGGAAATGCCTTCCCCCCAGTCTCCTGGAAACAGGAGCTGAGGCAGGGCTGTGGTGGGGCTGGAGCCTCCGTTTCCAGGGATGGCCAGAGACCACATTCTCCTACAAGTAGAAACAGCACCGGACTGACAGTAGGCGAGGTTCCGGGGGGTGGGGCTCTGGCCCTGTGAGCTGGCAGCTGGCAGCTGGCCAGGGGGCCTGGCAAAGCTTGGGGTCCTCGCCAACCTTGCAGACTCCCCTCCATCTCAAAGCCTCACCTTCTTTCGTCTCCCTCCATCTTCCTCCTCATTCCATCTCCCCTTTTCCTCTGTCCTTGTTTCTTTATTTTCTTTATTTTTAAAAATGTATTTAATTGATTTATTACAGAAAGGAAGGGAGAGGGAGAGAGAGCAAGAAACACCGATGAGAGAGAAACATCGACCAGCTGCCTCCTGCACACCCCCCACTGGGGATGTGCCCGAAACTAAGGTACATGCCCTTGACCGGAATCGAACCTGAGACCTTTCAGTCCACAGGCCGACACTCTATCCACTGAGCCAAACCAGTTAGGGCTATTTTCTTTTTCTTTCTTTCTTTCTTTCTTTCTTTCTTTCTTTCTTTCTTCCATTCTTTCTTTCTTTCTTTCTTTTTTTTAAAAAAAATATATTTTATTGATTTTTTACAGAGAGGAAGAGAGAATGATAGAGAGCTAGAAACATTGACCAGCTGCCTCCTGCAGACACCCTATTGGGGATGTGCCTGCAACCCAGGTACATGCCCTTGACCAGAACCGAACCTTGGACCCTTCAGTCTGCAGGTTGACGCTCTATTCACTATCCACTAGTTTTGGCAGTTTTGGGGTTTTTTAACTATTTTTTTTTTTTACTTCAGAGAGGAAGGAGAGAGAGAGAGAGAGAGATAGAAACATCCATCATGAGAGAGAATCATCAATTGGTTGCCTCCTGCACACAACCTGGGCATATGTCTGACCGGGAATTGAACCATGACCACTGAGCCACACTTGCCAGGCTTCCTTCTTTTTTTAAGTTTATTGAGGTAAAATTTACGTACAGTAACATGCACCATTTTTAGTGTTTTGAGTTTGTGTTTTTAAAAAAATATATTTTATTGATTTTTTTACAGAGAGGAAGGGAGAGGAATAGAGAGTCAAAAACATCAATGAGAGAGAATCATTGATCAGCTGCCTCCTGCACATCTTCCACTGGGGATGTGCCCACAACCAAGATATGTGCCCCCAACTGGAATCGAACCTGGGACCTTTTTTTTTTTTATAGTCTGCAGGTCAATCATCCAACTGAGCCAAACTGGTTTCAGCTGCTTCTCTTTCTTTCTCTGTGTTCTCATATGAACAGTGTCTCTGCCTCTCCATCTGCCTTTCTCTTTCTCTCCCCCTCTCCCTCTCACATCATCTTGCCTCTTTCTTTTCTTTTTTAAAAAAATATATTTTATTGATTTTTTACAGAGAGGAAGGGAGAGAGATAGAGAGCTAGAAACGTCGATGAGAGAGAAACACCGACCAGCTGCCTCCCTACCGGGGATGTGTCCGACTGGAATCGAACCTGGGACCTTTCAGTCCGCAGACCGACAATCTACAGCTGAGCCAAACCGGTTTCAGCCATCTTGCCTCTTTACTTCTCCCTCATCACCTCCCCTTTCTCTTCTCTGCAGTTCTGTCTCCTGCCCCCTCTCCGTGAGCCCCAGCAGACCCCTCCAGCCAGGGTGCCCAATTTTGCCAGCTCCCTTTCCCCCAAGGTTTTAGAAATGCCTTGCACCCTCCCCCACCCCATGGTTAGGCAGTCACAGCTCTGGGTGCCCGGGGACTAGGCAGGAGGAGGAGGAGGAGGAGGAGGACCACGGATCCTCCTCTAAGCTTGCCTGCTCAGTCTGCCTCTGAATAAGCATGATCCTCAGGGAGCGAGAACAGGACCCCGGTAAGGACTAAATTCGATGACCCATCACAGGGCTCAGCAGGAGCCAGCGCTCAGGATCCGCACTGTGGAAACAGACAGTGTTTCCCAAGCTTATCGGGAAGCGCAGGGCGCTTTATTCCGGGGACACTGCTTATCCGGGGGCCTGGGGCCTGCAGACCGCAGCTCAGGGGGCGGGGGTGGGGGGGTGGCCCTGCAGCCAGGTTCTGAAGAAATGGCCTCTGCGCAGAGGGGTGTGTGGGCTCCCGTTCTCAGAAGGCTCTGGGGGGTCAGGACTCTCACATTTGGGGCGATGGGGCCTGGCAGTTGGGCCCCAGCCACTGCCTCCCCCACCAATCAATGGGCTGATTTGCATGCCCTGTTGTGGTCCAGTAGCCTCCGGGGGCTGTGCCCGAAGCACCTGGAGCGCACCCCACAGAACAGCGCCCGCCTGGCTGCCTGCTGCGGCCATGGCCTGGAGGCGCCTGGCCCTCCTTCTGATCGGAGCCCTCCTGGCAGGTGAGCTCGCCCTGGGCCTGGCTCCCCTGGGGGTGGGGGGTGGGCTAGGGGACAGCACTCGCTCCAGAAGACCCCCTGCAAAGAAGCAAGTTGAGACGAGCAGGGGGAGGTTCTGGAAGGGGCGAAGGAGAGAACCGACTGCCCGGGGCTGGCTGTGCCCTAGACCTGGGGCAAGTCACTTCTCTGTGTGGGCCTCAGTTTCTCCATTTCTGATTGACCTGATCACCAGCGTCCCTTTGACCTTGGACTCCTTAGGGTCTGAGAAGGGGCTGGAGCTGGTTGCCTTTGGAGTTTTTCACAGGAAAAGCTGGTGTGGGCTGATCCCTACCTCACGGGGCCTCAGGAACAACCTAATTCTAAGGAGGTCCTCAGCATCCAGTTGCTTGAGGCTGAGCTGATGGGTGGGACAGCCCAGAAGCTTCGTGGGGGTGGGTAGTCTGTAGGCAGGGTTTGGCAGAGCCAGTGTGACTGAGGGGATAGGGATCTTCAGGGCAAGGGGTGGGCATGAGCAACGGAGGCCACCAGTCCCACCTTTTATTTATTATTTATTTTTTAAAATATATTTTATTGATTTTTTTTTTACAGGGAGGAAGGGAGAGGGTTAGAGAGCTAGAAACATCGATGAGAGAGAAACATCAATCAGCTGCCTCTTGCACACCCCCTACTGGGGATGTGCCCGCAATCAAGTCACATGCTCTTGACTGGAATTGAACTTGGGACCCTTGTGTGAGTCCTCAGGCTGACGCTCTATCCACTGAGCCAAACCGGTCAGGGCCACCAGTCCCACCTTTTAGACTTGAGGCCTTCAACTGATCACAGATCCTGGGAACATGGCACTCACGGGGCTTTAGGAGTCACCAACTCCGTACCCCGTCCTGTGCCACACCCATGGCACCAGGTCCCGAGTCCTCCAGGAACAGGAGCTGTTGGGTTAGGGAGTCTGAGCACGTCTTCCTTAAGGCAGAGGTGGGAGAACAGGGGCCCAGGGCAGCCAGGCCTGAGCAGATCTGTCTCTTCCAGTCTCCCGGCCGGTCCTGACCCAGCCAGATGCTCTGCTGGTGTTCCCGGGCCAGGTGGCCCAGATCTCCTGCATGCTCAACCCCCGCCTCGCCGCCGTGGGGGACTATGGCGTGTCCTGGTACCAGCAGCGGGCAGGAAGCGCCCCCCGCTACCTCCTCTACTACCGCTCAGAGGAGGACCAAAGCCGCTCCCCGGACCTCCCTGACCGCTTCTCGGCAGCCACAGACGCAGCCCAAAACGCCTGCCTCCTGATCATCAGCCCCGTGCAGCCCGAGGACGACGCAGATTATTACTGCTCCGTCGGTTACATACCCTAGGGGTGGGGGGTGGGAGGGATGCCTCCTCTGTCTCCCACGTCTGTCCCTGACCTTGGGCCTCTCTCGAACTTTCTCTGAGCCTTGATTTTCCTCCTCTGTAAAATGGGCTAGTAATACCCAACATGTCAATACTGGCCGTGAGGTCTCTGCTGAAAAAGTGACTGTGGTTGGTCGGGGAGAGCGGAGGGATTCTGGGGATTGGTGCATAAGAGGAAGCACAGGGCCCAGCCTCTCTCCACGGGCCCCCAGGGGTTTCAGACTGGTCGCTTGGCCTTCCTGTGACCCAGGAAAAAAAAAAAAAAAAGGAACCAGCCCTGCCACTCCCAGCTCTGTGCGCGGCTGGTTGTGGTCCAATGCTCACTGAGTGACACCTGGGTTCCCAGGGATCCCAGGCTGCTAGGTAGGGGAGGGGCAGTCCCTGCCTACACCTTGATGGAGCAGGGAGGCAGCTGTGTGTGTGTGTGTGTGTGTGTGTGTGTGTGTGTGAGGGTGTGTGTGTGTGTAGGGCACTCAGAGGCACCTGAGGGCGAGGGTGGAGGGTGTGAAGGCGGTGGGCAGATGGCAGGGCTGGCTGAGTGGGCAGCATCCCCCCCTCAGGAACACGTGTTCTATTGGTCTCCCATGAGAGGCCTCTGCCCTCACTCTCCCCAGGGAGGCTCTCCCACAGGCAGGTGGGCCCAGAGGAAGCACAGAGGGAGGGAGGGGCATGTCCTGCCATCAGAAGCAGAGCTGAGTGTCTGGGAGTGGGGTGAGGGGTTCAAGAACACATCCCTCTTCCCACCCCCTTCCTTCCTCCCCCCTACTTCCTCTAGGTAGGGGGCGTCTCATGCCTGGAGGTCACCCCTCAAATGTCCTGAGTCCAGAGAGGGTGCAGCCAACACTCGTAGCCCTCTGCGGAGGGTGTGGGAGGTGTGTGTGTGTGTGTGGGGAGGGGTGTCCTCCGCGCCCTTCTCATTCCCGTCTCCGTGGGGGCTGGGTGGGCAGGCAGGACCAGGAAGGGATCATGATGAATCCCCGGGGCTCCTGGGCCTATGGGAGGAGATGGGCTCCCCTCGGAATCCCCTTCTCCTTCTCTTGAGGATCCCACACGCCTGGCGGCCCCTGGCTGCGCCCATCCCCAGGGCACGTGCAGTCTGCCTGCCCTTCCCGGCCTCAGTTTCCTCCCCTGCACTCCTGCCCAGCTCTGCCCTCCTCCCAGCCGGACTCACTCCGGGAGGGCGGCCCAGAGACACTGCGTCCGACCGGAGAGACTCCCCCGATCCCTGTGCTGGAGCTGGGAGCTGGGAGCTCAGCAGCTGCGAGCCCGAATGCCTGGCGCGGCGGGACCACCGAGACGCGAGACCTCCGCGAGGCCTAGAGCGGTCCCGGAAGTGCCTGCGGGCGGGGGGGGCGGGGGGCGGGGCTCCGGCGCTCGGGCCACCGCGGGCTCCGCGTCAGCAGCTGCCCGGGAGCCAGGCCGGGTCGGCCGCGGGTTGGAGCAGCTCAGGTGCGGCCCCGCCCCGGCCCCCGGCGGCCCCGCCCCGGCCCAGGTGAGCGGCTCCGCCCCGGCCCAGGTGAGTGGTGAGCGGCCCCGCGGAGAGCCCGTGTGCCCACCTGTCCCTCCGGGGTCCCCGTTGGAGGGAAGCATGTTGTGGGGGCACCGGCGTCGCCGCCGCCCGGCCGGCGTGTGCGTGTCCGCGGCCGCTCGCGGGCCTCCGGCCAGAGAGCCCTGACCGGCCCGGGGTCTGCCCGCTGCCGGGCCGTGCGGGCTCCCCCGAGGATGGGGTGACGGATGCAGGCGCAGCAGCCCGGGAAGGCCCTGCTGAGAGAAGTGGGGAGCGTGGGATCTCATACCTTTGGCTTTTTTTTTTTTTTTTTTTTTGTCCAATAACGTTTAAAACATTGTTGGGGGACAGATGAAGGTTTGCCAACTTCTTAAATAGAGCGGAGACTTCAGGTGTATAGGTGGTACGTAGTGGGAATGGACCATTCCTAAGGAGGAAACGTTGGAAACATCGGGATTTAACAGGTGGGTGGGAGAAGAGTTGCAACGCACAGAAGGAGGGATCCCAGGCCATGAAAATTGGGGGGGATCTTTCAAGAACCCAGGGAATAAGGCAGGATGTGGGAGTGGGGTGATTTGTCCAGCAAGCTCAAAGCCTTGAGGCGTCTAGGTAGGCAAACTGGGTTTAGGAAAGGGATGAGCCCCTATTGTCACATCTTTAGTGTTTTTTTTTTTTTTTTCTTTGTTTTTTTTTTTTTCAAGAGAAGGCCAGAAACCTACTGAGTTTTCCATATTGGCAAGCTAAGTCAAACAAAAAGGACAAGCCCAACTCTTTTGAGAGCCAGACAGAACGTGTCTATGGCAGGATCCTCAGGCTGCCAATTTTCATCCTCTCAAATGAAGGGTTTTGAGAAGGAGGTATGGGTGAGCAGTGCCAGAAGGGGTGGGGCAGGGGACGGAGAAGAGAGGATTGGCAGTGAGGAGGTCATTGGATGCTGGAGCCGAGGGCCGAAGTCCCGGCTGAAATTGGAAACTGGAAATCTGTCTCGGTGCCATACACAGTCGTATGATTTTCCTTGGCAGCGTTTGACATTTCATGAGGAGTTGGCAGAGGTGTTCGTGGCCGGTTACAGAAGGGCAAGGAATTGAGGAATGTGATGCTGGTCAGAGAGTTAGCTGAGGGGATGTCTAGAGTTAGATCCACTATGGAAGGAGGGGATCTGAGCTGGGTGGGAGTGGTAGAACTAGAAGCGGAGAAGGAAGTGGAGATGGGGAAATATTAGCCCTAGCCGGTTTGGCTCAGTGGAGAGAGCGTTGGCCTGCGGGCTGAAGGGTCCTGGGTTGGATTCAGGTCAAGGGCACATGCCTGGGTTGCAGGCTCAATCCCCAGTAGGAGGCAGCCAATCAATGACCCTCCTCATTGATGTTCCTCTCTTTCTCCCTCCCTCCCTCCTTCTCTCTCCCTCTCCCTTCCTCTGTAAAGTCAATAAAAATAAAAATAAAATAAAAAATGGGGAGCTACTAGATTTGGCGCATTTGAGTGAGAGAACTGGGAGGACTGGAGATTATGGTTGCTGAAGAGGAGGGTAAGAAGAGGTAAAATGAGCAAAGACAATTCATTACAGTGGCTGAAATTCATTAAGAAGATATTTCCAAATAGAAATGGCTCCATCATGACTATTCTGACTAATGTATATATTGATATTTGGATTCAGTTACTCTCTAAGCTTCAAGGTAATTATAATAATAGTAGTGCCTTTGTTTCGAGTTGTGAAGATTAACTGAGAAACAGTTGTAAAGGTCTAGTAGTGTCTAGCACAGAGCAGATAATCAATAAACATGGCCTGTTCTCATTAGGGTAGCTGGGGAGTTCCCCTTTAGCTGCACAGAAGTTTCTGAATGGGGTCCTGAGAGGCTCCCTCGGGCCACCACAGGGGCTGAGGGGCTGAGTGGGGTGTTTTAGCTTCCTTCTTTGTTCCCACAGAAACACCCTCCTTCAACTGCAGCAGTCATGCTTTTGTCTGTTTATTTGTTTACTAAAGGCCCGATGCACAAATTTGTGCATGGTTAGGTCGGGCTGGCCCACACCAATCCTGGGGGCTGAGAGAGATGGGGCTGGTGGGGGGGGGGGTCGGGGGAGGTAGGGACTGGGGGAGGTAGGCCAGCTTGCCCTGCCCCCTGGTCGAATTCCCAGTCGAGGGGACAATTTGCATATTAGCCTTTTATTATATGGATATCTCCCAGAGGATTTTTTTTTTTTTTTGGATAAAGAGTTCTAGTTCTAGCACAAAACCAGATAGTTTTTCCTCCATGCAATTATATATTAATTCAATGAATGTAAGTGTAGAGATTGTCCTGTTGTGCTGGGGCTCAGGGTTCCAAAATGAAGGAGCACACAACTTGCCCTTAAAGGGCTCACAGTGGTGGGGAGAGTCCTGTTAATCATGTTTGCCATCCAGGGTGGTGAGTGCTGGATGCATGTGTGCACCGAGCTCCATAGGTCATGGAGGGCTGTGCCTGAGAGTCAGTCTGAGGGTGACAGAAGAGGAGACGTTGGGACTGAATCTGGAAGGTTGAGAGTGGGGAGGGGCCTGGCAGGCAGAGGAAACAGCAGCACAAATGGGATGGAAGGCTAGGGGTGTGTGAAAGGAGGGGCCGGAGATGAGCTGGAAGGGCCATGCATGCGGGCCTTGTGAATGAGCTGAGCTGTCACAGGCTCTTAAGAAGAGAAATGGCACGATCAGGCCTGTATTTGGGGTATTTCACACTGGTGTTAATGCAGGGAACGGGCCAGAGGGAGGAATAGATGTTGGGGATAGACAGCCATTTGGGAGGGCAGTATTGAAATAATCTCGGGGATTTGCACTGAGGCCTGAGCTCCAGAATCACAGCGAGGACAGAGAGGCAGAGACAGACCCCTTCAATAAAGCTCAGGAAATGGAAGGACAGGCCATGCAGGTGAGAGAGGAACAAGGTCTAGGCTGGCTCTCAGAGTTGTGGCTGGAGCACCAAATGGAAGAAAGTGCACTCTCTTTCCCAACAAAACCCCATTCCCAACGTCCTCCAGTAGGTGGAGTGTTGTGCCTTTTCCACATGGCTCCACTTCCTGCTCTAACCCACCTTTCTGAACATCCTCAGCCTTTAGAGTCTAGACACTATGGTGTGGTGTTTGATTCTGTAATTTCTCTGACTTTTTTTTTTTGCAGTTGTTTATGATAAATCAAACTTCTGTCTAACCCAGTGGAGATCAAAGCAAAGGGCAAGATTGTGACTTTTTGTTTTATTTTATTTTGTTAATCCTCACCTGAGGATATTTTTTAATTGATCTTTTTTTTGGGGGGAGGGGAGAGAGAAAAACAGAGTGAGAGCAAGAGAGAGATGTAAGAGAGACAGATTGATTGGTTATCTCTTGAAAGTGCCCCAACTGGGCTGGGAATCCAACCTGCAACCCAGGTATGTGCCCTTGACCTGGAATCCAACCCAACATCCTTCAGTGTACGGGCTATCAGTCTAACCACTGAGTGCACTGGCCAGGGCCAAGGTTATATCTTACACTTTTTTTATTATTATTTTATTATTTTGTTATTATCTACCACCGATTCTGGCACAGGAAGAAGGCACATACTAAGTGCTTGACTTCGTCTGCTTGACAATGTCCCTTTTCTTTTTTAGACCGTAAGAACAGTGTGTCCCAAAGAAGAACACATCTTTCAAGAAATACAGTCCTTGGGGGTGATACCAGATCCACAATGGAGATTCCCCCGGCATCCAAGCTCGGTGAGACCTTCGTGTTTGACGATGGGTTAGAGATGCAACAAGGACTTTTCCCGGAGGAGGATCTAGGGGACTCATTTCTCCAGGAAAGAGGTTTAGAGCAAATGGCTGTTATTTATAAGGAGATCCCTCTTGGGGAGCCAAACGAGGAACATGATGATTACGAGGGGAATTTCAGTCTGTGCTCAAGCCCTGATGGGCATCAGAGCATCCCCCAAGGGAACAAACCCCAGGACGATGACATATTTGCCCAGACCTTCCTCCAGAAGTCAGACCTCAGTCTGTGTGAGTTCATCCATGGCGGAGAAGAGCCCAGCAAACAGGACTATGAGCTCGCGGGCAGGGAGGACTCGGGGCCCAACGAACCTCTCAGGACTGCACAGCCACCGAAACCCTACGTGTGCCGGGAATGTGGGAAGGCCTTCAGCCAGAGCTCACACCTGCTCAGGCACCTGGTGATCCACACCGGGGAGAAGCCCTACGAGTGCTGCGAGTGCGGGAAGGCCTTCAGCCAGAGCTCGCACCTTCTCAGACATCAGATAATCCACACGGGGGAAAAGCCCTACGAGTGCCCGGAATGTGGGAAAGCCTTCCGCCAGAGCTCGGCCCTCACACAGCATCAGAAAACCCACACTGGGAAGAGACCCTACGAATGCAGGGAATGCGGGAAAGACTTCAGCCGGAGCTCCAGTCTGAGAAAACACGAGAGAATTCACACCGGGGAAAAACCTTACCAGTGTAAGGAATGCGGGAAATCCTTCAACCAGAGCTCGGGCCTGAGCCAGCACCGGAAAATCCACACCCTAAAGAAACCTCACCAGTGCGAGCTGTGCGGGAAGGCCTTTTGCCACCGGTCCCACCTCATTCGGCACCAGAGGGTTCACACGGGGAAGAAGCCGTACGCGTGTGAGGAGTGCGGGAAGGCCTTCAGCCAGAGCTCCAACCTCATCGAGCATCGCAAGACCCACACGGGCGAGAAGCCCTACAAGTGCCATAAGTGCGGGAAAGCCTTCAGCCAGAGCTCCTCCCTCATCGAGCACCAGCGGATCCACACCGGGGAGAAGCCGTACGAGTGCGGCCAGTGCGGGAAGGCCTTCTGCCACAGCTCCGCCCTCATCCAGCACCAGAGGATCCACACCGGGAGGAAGCCCTACGCGTGCAACGAGTGCGGCAAAGCCTTCCGGCACAGGTCGGCCCTCATCGAACACTATAAGACCCACACCAGAGAGAAACCCTACGAGTGCAACAAATGTGGCAAGTCCTTCCGGGGGAGTTCACACCTCATCCGGCACCAGAAAGTCCACGCTGGGGAGAAGCTCTAGAAGGAGGAGTTCACACCGAAGCTTGAAAGCCTTTCCCCGATGGAGTCGCTTTGTCTGCAGGGCTCTATCCACCTGCCCGCCAACAGAGTTGACCCTGGGTGCTCCTGAGCACCCACACCAGCTGCAAGGGCCCCTCTTGGCCAGGCGCCCCGTGATCAGCAGGTTTTCTGAGCACAAGGGAGGGTGGGAGAGGGGGATAGGAATGGCTGAGCCCCTGAAAAGAGAGGGGGCCTTCGATTTTCTCATTCTCCCCATTTGACTACCAAGCCTGTGAGGTTCAGTTCTGCCCTCTATCCCAGAATCCAGAGGAGAAATGATTGTAAGAGGGAGAAATTTGAGTGAAACCCATGAGAATGTCAGGTGAGAACTGTAACAACCATCCTCACAGTTCAAATCAGCTAAAGAAAAATGAATCCAAAAAGTAGATACCTCAGCCACCAAATGGAATCTTCTGCCCGGTTTGGGTCGTCCTTGTAGGGACAACCCAAACAGGTTACAGAACAAAGGGAGTGTCTGGAAGGATTAGGTTTGGGACGGGGAGTGGGGGTGCGAGTCCCTGGTGTGGTCTCCGAATCCTGTTCCGTGTTAGAGTGAGGGCGGTTTCTTTCAAGGAGAGGAGAGGTTCGGTCCTGCAGGCATCAGTGCCTCCGGGAGTAGCCCCCCCACAAGCCCCAGGGCTCCTAACACCACAGCGTGCCTTGGACATCAGCAGGGCCCCTTACTGGTCCGGCAGCTATGCAGCTTCTCCACCGCCAGTGCAGGGGCAGGCATATGGGGGGATGTTGGAAGCAGGGTGATTCAATCAGAGATCTGGGTTCAGGTCTCAGGTCCATCCCTCCTACCTGTGTGTCCGTGAGGAAGCCCCAAGGCTCAGTTTTCCTGCCTGTGAAATGGAGATAGTGGGATCTGGCCCCGTACTTCTAAGGACCGGTGCGAGGCTCCCATTCAGAATGAGAGCACATGTGAAAGTGCTCTGACAACTGGAGATTGAGTATGGATACCCAGGGTGACCTCTGCCTGCCCCCAATCCCCCAACCTGGAAACACTGTCCCTGAAACCTGGAGAGGCACCCCCATCTGCTTCCTGACACGGCAGAGCCTGCAGCAGGCCCTCATTAAACCAGGCTCTCCCACACGCCTCAGGCTCGTACCCTGGGCCGGGGGTGCCCTGTGTTTATCTCACAGATGTTTCCTGGAAGCCATCCTGAGCCTGCCTGTGGTGGTCATCCATGTCCCATATTTCTCTTGGTTCTCTCCCCCTCCCCACCCCCTCACCCCAGCCAACTGGTATTCATCTGGGACCAACTCAGTGGGCATCCCCAGAGGTGGGGCTCAGTGGTGTGTTTTTGAAGCTGCCAGGTGGTTATAATGTCCCAGCATGCGTCTGGGCTGTGACATAGTTAATCATGCAACCCCCCATCTCGCACATGTCAGGCCTGCTTGCCCTGACTGAGCAGAGCCTGAAGGTGGCCCAGGAACCACACACTGACAGGGCTGGCTAGTTGGTCACTGTTTGTCCCAGGCCCTCGGGCCTTCGTGTGCCCATGGGGATCCAGTACTGGCACTCCCCCCAGGTTTCTCAGCTAGTGTGGGCGGAGGCAGTCTGGAATCCCACGAACCTACCTATCGTGGTAAAGCTGGTTATTTCAGCCAATCAGAAGCTCAGGTTGGCGGGTATGTGTAGTTTTGATGAGTCAAATGGGAGAGCCGCCCTGGCTAGTTTTCTCAGTGGTTAGGGAGTCTGCCCTCGGACCAAAGGGTCACAGGTTCAATTCTGGTCAAGGGCACATATCTCAGTTGTAGGCTCAATCCCTGGCCCCCCAGTCTGTGCATGCGGGAGGCAACCAATCCATGTGTCTCTCTCACATCAATGTTTCTCTCTCTATGCCTCTCCCTCTCCCTTCAACACTTTCTCAAAATCAATGGGAAAAAAATATTCTCGGGTGAGAATTAACTAAAAATAAAATGGGAGAGTCATAATTGTCACTGAGTAAGTGGGGCTTGGTAGTCAGAGATTTTAAAAGGAATCGTCTGAAGGTCTGGGAAGATCACTTCTGTCAGGTCCCTCTTTGCTATGTGAAACATTTAGCCAGCACCCCAGGCTCCCCAGACCCTGCTGTACCACAGCTGGACTGGTCAGTGGCGCCTGGGCATTGTTGGCAGAAGGCCTGCAACCAGGCTCTGTAGTCATTTACCAGGAGTGAGGAGAGAATGCTGGGACACCTGCTTGGTGCGGGTGACAGCAGTCACCAATCCCACCAGATCTACCTCCTGGCACCCCCTCATTCTGTGTCTATCAGGCAGGCATCAGTTCCTCTCCCACCTCTAATGTCTCCCTCCACATCCTGTGCACCCAAACCAAACTGATTTTTTTAAAGCATCACTTTGCACATGTCACCACTCCCCTTAAAACCAGCCTTTGGGGGTATTTCTGCACATAAACCCCCATTTCAACCAATCTGCTTCACCCCCCTCTACACAAGCCACATGGCGTTCATGCCCGCCTCTGTCCTCAGCTCGCCCCCAGCCTCTCTCAACTCATTTTGTGCTGTTCTCGCGTTTTGAAATATGCACTTTCTCCCCCTGTACCCTCCGCCACCCGTCTCCTTTCTTCCTTTTGACAATTTGTGTAACAGGATAAAAACCCCTTTCTGAAGGGTTGACGGATTCTTAACCATGGTTAAGACCAGGTACTTGTCATTTTTGGAAGTGTGAGTAAAACTAGTTCTCTGTTCAATGTATTTCATGGTTTGACTATGTATTTAAATTCCTTTCCCTTTATTTAGGTCTCGGTGTAATGTTATAAGGGATTGCCCTGGTAACACTTTCATCGTCCTTGAATTTAGTTGTTTTTGTTGTCTTGTGTTTTTTCCTGATGGCAGATGTTGAGTGTTGTAAAGCTCCCAACTCGTGATTTTGTTTATTAGTTGGGTTGTTGTGTCAAAGTATATGTGTTCTGGTGGGTTGTTGTTGGTTTTTTAGCTTAATACTTTATGTTTCTAATATTAATTATATATATATATTGATTTTAGAGAGGAAGGGAGAGAGAGAAACATGGATTGGCTGCCTTCTGCATGTGCCCTGATGGGGGATCAAATCCTCAACCTGGCTCTGTGCCCTGACTGGAAATCAGAATCGAACCTGCAGACTTCTGGCGCATGGGATGATGCTCCAACTAACTGAGCCACACAGGCCAGGGCATTAGTTAATCATATGTTTACTATTTCTAGTAAAGGTAAGTAATTTAGTCTGATTTTTTTTTTTTAATTGTTAGATCTTTTCCTGCACTCCATAAGTTTGACATGTGGTATTTCTTGCTATTATATTATTAATTTCCTTTTGGCCCAAGAGTTATTATTACTTTTTAAAAATATTTCCAAGTGATGAATGCTTAAGGCATTATTGTTATTTCTTACTTTATTGTGGTTTCAACATTTCAAAGTGCCCACAGGATTTCTTTGGGCCTGAATATATTATCCGTTTTTATGAAGCATTTGTGTACTCTTAAGAAATGTGTTTTTACTCCATCAGTTCTATTTGTTAGCTCCGTTTTAAAACTATTTTATACAAATTAATATTTTCTCTAATTGTGTTTACTTCAGAGTTCTGAACCTCGGGTCCATGGACTGCCTCGGGCTTTGGCACACAGGGGTTTTAAAAGGCTGTGGACCACTAGGGACTGAACGGAGCTGTGTGGGCATGTGTATGAGTGAGTGGTCCTGGTCTGTAGCATTCTCCTTATTTTGGAAGGCCTCTGTGACCCCAAAAGAGTTAAGAACACTTTCTTACCTGATCTAATTGTAGTCTGATTTTGTGGTTTTTTCTTTATGTGGTTTCTGTTTCTTTTTTATGTGTGTTGCTATTTTAGTCATGCAATTATCTCAGCTCTTTGGAGGAATAGGCAGGGTATCTGTTGTCAATAAGTAAATACCAAGGTGTTTGGGAAATATATATATATATATATATATACACACACTTAATAGTGATATATTGAAAACCTGTGCCTTTTTGTGCCCTATTTGCCTCTTCATGCTTCTAGCTTTAACTTCTCTTTTCAAAATATTATAATTGCTTTTCTTGCATTTGCATGGGAGTTTAGCTCAGCGTTTTAATTTTTAAATGTCTGTATATATTTTGCTATATACCTGTAACTTATAAACACCAGATTCTTGGATTTGATTTTCTGATTCTTGCTGTGATCCTTTTCCTTCTTGTGTAGGAAGTTCTGTCATTGGCATTATTGTTTTTTTGTTTTTTAAAAAAATATATTTTATTGATTTTGTACAGAGAGGAAGGGAGAGAGATAGAGAGCTAGAAACATCGATGAGAGAGAGTCATCAATCAGCTGCCTCTTGCACACCCCCCACTGGGGATATGCCCGCAACCAAGGTACATGCCCTTGACCGGAATCGAACCCGGGACCCTTCAGTCCCCAAGCCGACGCTCTATCCATTGAGCCAAACCGGTCCCGGCGGCATTATTGTTTAGAGTAAGGTAGACGTTTGCACTTTAACATTTTAGTTTCTGGTAATTCATTGAACCCACAGAGGCCATACTCATTCATGTGTGAAGTCTGCCATTGGGCGTACCTGCTCCTTGCCTTCATCAGTGCCGGGCTCTGTCATAAGCCCCTCTTCAAGTCACAGGCTCTGTTGTCAGTGTCCTTGGCCGCCGTGTGGGGGAACGGTGCCACTCAGCCTCGTGGAGGCCAGAGGACGGAGAACAAACCTGCACGGCAAACAGCAGGCACAGACCATTGCCACGCTGTTCGTATTTTGAATGTTTAATTTTCTGTCCTTACTCCTAAAGTTCTTTGAACAGAAAGCATTACATTGTGCTTTCCTTTTCAGAGAATCCTACCAGATGTAGCAAAGAATTAAGTAGGCATCACAGGTCCATCCCGCCCTCCCAGAATGAACCCACAGTCATTTGAAGAGAGGGGGGGGCCCTGGTCTCATAACCCCCATCCCCACCACCTGTCTGTCCCAGGTTGGTTCCCCCTCACCCTCCCCCTTACTCCCCTTTTCCCCTCCTGGGATGGGGGAAGGGAACACTGCAAAGGCTCAAGAAGACGGCCCCTTATGGCCGCTCCTGTTACAGTGGGGAAACTGAGGCCAGTGACTTACCAGAGGTGCGACTTAGGGTCTGATCCACAGGCAGTCGTGGGGAAGAACATTCTGGATGCTACGCCAGAGCCCAGCCAGCTGCTGCCAGGGTTTATCAGAGGTGGCAGGTGGGGTTAGCCATCTCGGGCTGAGGTAAAAACCAAATTGCCTCCATCTGTTCAGAGTTGCCCAACTCTTGGGGGTAAGTGGACATTTGCAAACATCACACAAAATGGATATATTTACTAGAATGCCAATGCCTTGATTTACTGGGGGAACCCCATCTTTAGCATCTGATAACCCAGACACCAAGGTGGGTGTGAAGTTGGTGTGTCTCTCTCACATTGATGTTTCTCTTTCTCTCTCTCCTTCCCCCCCCCCTCTCTAAAAATCAATAGGAAAAATATCCTCAGGTGTATTACCAAAAAACAGAACGAAGACTGATTCTGCTGGTGTGTCCTCGACCCCGTGGGGGGGAGGGGGAGAGGTGTCCAGCCTGACAGGGTGAAAGGGAGGGGGTGAGGGTGGGGAGGAGCTGAGCTGGGCACGAAGGGAGCAGGGCATCCCAGGGGGCGAGGGCATCTGCACCAGGGCAGGGATCGAGAGCAGGAGGGAAGGGACATCATGGGGTGGAGGAGGGACCGGGGGAGGAGAGGGCAGAGGGACTGAAAGGTGACCGGACTCCTGTGCCCTGGCCAGGTTCCTGCGAGGTGCCCCAGGAAACTCCTGCGGGCACAGAGGATCCTCCCACCCCACCGAGAACCAGGGAGGGAGAGCCACACATTAAAAATGAGACTAGGAAAGAACGAGCAGAGAGCACGAGTTCTAATTGACAAGAACGTCTTGAGACTTGATGGGGTTCAGGGCGCAGGGCTGGGGAGGACTCAGGTGGAAGGGGAGACCCTCCCAGAGGTCCCGAGTCTCCAGCCCCGAGGGGGGGGGGTGGCTCGGGGCCCTAGGAACACTCTGCGGGGACCACCGCCTTCTCCACGGTGCCCGCCTCGTGCGTGACCTGGCAGCTGTAGCTGCCACCAGATCGCCACTTGGCGGGCGTCAGGCTCAGGAAGCTGCTGGCCGCGTACTTGTTGTCGCTCTGCCTGGAGGGCGCGGTGGTCTCCACGCCCTGGGTGACGGGGCTGCCGTTCGCCTTCCAGGCCACCGTCACGCGGCCCGGGCGGAAGCCGCTGATGAGACACACCAGGGTGGCCCTGTCCGTGCGGAGCTCCTCGGGGGAGGGCGGGAACAGAGTGACCGAGGGCGCGGACTGGGGCTGGCCTGCGTGGACAGAGAGGGGGTGTGAGCCGCAGAGGGGGAGCGCGTGTTGGTGCAGCCCCCGTACTGATGTACATCCCTGCGACCCGTCATTGTGTCCGTGTTTGTTCACCCAGGGAACCTCCTTCCTCCTCCTCCTCCTCCCTCCCCCTCCCACTCTCCCTCCTCCTCTCCTCCTCCTCCTCCTCCTCCTCCTCCTCCTCCTCCTTCTTTTAAAAATATATTTTATTGATTTTTTTACAGAGAGGAAGGGAGAGAGATAGAGAGTTAGAAACATTGATGAGAGAGAAACATTGACCAGCTGCCTCCTGCACATCCACCACCGGGGATGTGCCCGCAACCAAGGTACATGCCCTCTACCGGAATTGAATTGAACCCAGGACCCTTCAGTCCGCAGGCCGACGCTCTATCCACTGAGCCAAACCGGTTTCGGCCCTCCTTCCTTCGTTGGCTCCTCCTTTTCTCTCAGCCCCTGGACAGCAGACGGCCCCCACCCGCCCGGAAGCCCTTCTGAGTCACACACACACACTCACACACACACACACACACACACACACACACACACACACACCGTGATCTGGTCAAATCCCTCCACCTGCAGCCTCCGTTTCCCCAGGTGTAAGCAGGGCAGGCTGACCTCCCTCCTCCAGGCTCCGGAGTCAGTGTGGGGCCTGGCTCCGAACTCTCGAGCCCTCAGCCCAGCATCAGGCCCCCCTCACTTCATTCTTCCGGAGCCCCAGGCCTCTGTGGCCTGGGCTCCCCCAACCGGCCTGATGGTATGTGTGTGTGTGTGGGGGGGGGAGCCCAAGCCTGAGCCCAGCACACAGGAGTCGCCTTTGGCACCCAGCGTGGCCCCCGCCCGGCCTCCGCTCTCCAGTGAGGGCTGAGGGCGAGGCCCGGGGCTTCCCAGGCTCTGCTGCCTCCCGCCCCGCGTGCCCTGACCCAGGACCCTTCACCGCGGCTGCGTCTTTGGCGCTGCTCGCCCTGAGGATGGGCACTGTGGCCCCACGCCACCCAGGACCTCTGACAACTGACTTCACAGGGCAGTTTGTAGCTCTGAGCCCCCCCCACCACTCCCCACTCTGGGGTTGTCCCCACTCTGTCATCGGAGTCTAATGCGCCCCCCAGGAAGGCGGGCAGCCCACCCTGGGACGGAGATGATGGGGCTCCGGGGACAGAGGTGTCTGTGCCTCCCCGGACCCGCTCCTTCCTGACCGCTGTCCTGGGAGGTGAGCTGCCGGCCACCTCACCGGTCCCACCTGTGTCCCTGCCTCCCTGTGTCCTCACAGCGCCGACAGCTCTGGCCCCGCCTGCCACAGGCCTCCCCTCCGATGCCCCTGTGCCCCTGGAGGCTGGGCTCACAGCCTCAGCCCTGTCCCCAGACCACTGGATGGCTCTCCCCGCTTGGATGGGCATCAAGCCCTCAGCCCAGACCCCCGGGGCCTCCGGTCTGTCCAGCCCCCTTGTGGGTGTCTGTCCTGGAAGAGAGACAGGAGCCCCACTATTGGGTCCTCCCTGCTGGTCACCCCGAGACCAACCCGCCTCCCCCAGACCTTATAGAGGGAGGTGGAGATCGACTATTCCCCCCCATTAGATATATATATATTTTAAAATATATTTTATTGATTTTTTACAGAGAGGAGGGAGAGCGATAGAGAGTTAGAAACATCAATGAGAGAGAAATATCAATCAGCTGCCTCCTGCACACCCACTACTGGGGTTGTGCCCACAACCAAGGTACATGCCCTTGACCGGAATCGAACCTGGGACCTTTCAGTCCGCAGACCGACGCCCTATCCACTGAGCCAAACCGGTTTTGGCCCCATTAGATATTTTTATGGATTTTGGGGGGAAGCGGGGAGGGAGAGGAAGGGAGAGGGGAAGACAGAGAAACATCGAAATGGCTCCAGACCAGGAATCAAGCCAGCCACCCTTTGGTGCCCAGGACGCCGACGCCCAAACAACTGAGCCACACTGGCCAGGGCCTAGGCACGGATTCTGAAGGCTGGGAGGGGAAGCAGCCTGCAGAGAGAAGGTGGGTTTCCCAGGACAGCAGAGGGTGGGGCACCAGGGAAAGGGGAAGAGAGCCGCTTACCGAGGACGACGAGCTGCGTCCCGCTGCTGAAGACGTACCACGACGACGACTGGGGATCCGACCAAAACCCGGGCCAGCACCGGGGGCCCGGCCCCTGGGGGCCGGTCCTGAGCAGAAACCTGCTGGGCATGATGGGCACAGGCACAGGTGGGCGGCCCGGGCACACTGGGTGTCCCGGTGCCTGGCTCCCTTCCCGAGGCAGGTACCACCTGAGCTTCGGAGTCACCTGTGTGTGATCCCCGGAGGCTGCCCCGGTCACCACTGAACCCTCAGTCTGACGTGGCCCTCAGGCAGCTGTGTGGTACGGCCGAATGATCCTGAACTTGAACTTGCTCGATCTGCCTGACCTCTCCTGGCCTCATTCTAGGGACGCGGAGGGCTCCTTCCCCACAGTTTCCCATGGTCCGGCCAGGTGGGCTGCTTCCCCCGGCCCAGGACACCGGTCATTCCTGACCCCCAGTGTTCCCACGTAGAGGACTGGTCTCCACACATCAAGACACGATTCCTTCTCTCTCTGAAGCCTGCTCCGGTCTCTTAGACCGCTGTCTTTCTGTCCATCCATTCATTAGTTCCTCCACCCACCACCCATCCATCATCCAACCGTCCATGTAATAATGGCCCCAAGCCCTTGTCTGTCAGGAGCTGTGTCATGTACTGAGACATGGCAGGGCCCCGGTTCTCCTCTCTGTCTCTCCCTAAAACCTCTTGGTTAAGGCCCCAAGTCCCTCTTCCCTGTCAAGGCTGAGGTCCCCTCCCCGGTTCCTGCTGAGCCTCACGCTCTTGCAGGATGCAACGCGGAGTTGGATCCTCTTTCCAGTGACTCTCTTCCCCTGGGTACCTGAGACCTCTCACTCTTCCTCCTCTGGCTCCCCTTTCTTTCTTTCTTTTTTAATATATAAGCAGTTAAAAAAAAAACATTTTATTGATTTTTTTACAGAGAGAAATGGAGAGAGAGTTAGAAACATCTATCAGCTACCTCCTGCTTACTGGGGATGTGTCTGCAACCAAGGTACATGCCCTTGACCCCGCGGAATTGAACCCGCGGCTCTTCAGTCCATAGACCGACGCTCTATCCACTGAGCCAAACTGGTTTTGGCATGGCTCCCCTTTCTTTATGGCCCATGCATGGCCACGGACCCATTCGTTGCCGTCTCACACTGGATTCCCACTCCTGCCTGGATGGCGAGGCTCATGTCCATCCGGCTCCAAGCCTTCTGTCTCCCCAGCTCGGCCCAAATTCCTAGTGAGCGTCTCTACAGGAACCTCAGCTCACCACACTCAACGGAGGCTGGCCACCCTTCTCCCAACCCCGTTCGTTGGTTCTTTCTTTCTCTTTCTTTCTTTCTTTCTTTCTTTCTTTCTTTCTTTCTTTCTTTCTTTCTTTCTTTCTTTCTTCCTTCCTTCCTTCCTTCCTTCCTTCCTTCCTTCCTTCCTTCCTTCCTTCCTTCTTTCCTCCCTTCCTCCCTTTATTTCTTTCTTCAAATTTCTTTATTGATTAAGGTAACGCATATTTGTCCTCAACCCTGCATTCCAATCCCCCACCCCTCCTCACTCATGCCCCTACTTCCCTATTGTTCTTGACCCCTGGTTAGGCTCATAAGTCCTTTGGTTGATCTCTCCTTTTTATCCGCACCCTCCCTTTGAGGTCCAACAGTCTGACCCATGGCTCCTTATCTCTGGGTCTGTTCTTTTTTAAAAAATATATATATATTTTATTGATTTTTCACAGAGAGGAAGGGAGAGAGATAGAGAGCTAGAAATGTCGATGAGAGAGAAACATTGACCAGATGCCTCCTGCATACCCCCTACTGGGGATGTGCCCGCAACCCAGGTACATGCCCCCGACCAGAATCGAACCTGGGACCTTTCAGTCCGCAGACCGACGCTCTATCTACTGAGCCAAACCGGTTTCAGCTCTGGGTCTGTTCTTGTTCATCAGTCTATGTTGTTCACCATTTCCCCTAACCCAGTTCTTTTCTGTCTTCCTCCTGTCACTCATGATCATGAGTGTTCTCACCCCCACTCACCCCCAGGCCGGAATCCTGTGTACTTAAATTCAGCATCAAAATACTCCTTTTTAAAGTTAAAACTAGACGCCCCAGATTGTGTTTTGCTGATTTTAACTTCCCACTCATACAAGAGTGTGGCATTGAGCCGGGCCTTATTGGTTGTAAGCATTTCTGCACTTCCACCTCAGAAGCTGGTCCAATCAGCCGTGGTTGGTTTTGTGATGCAAAAATAAGATTTTTTTTTTGCGTTAATTTTTTTTATTGTTTTAAAATTACATATATAACACAAGCAATATAGAAGTGCACTTTAAAAAGTACACTTAATATTTATCTCTCTGCATAGTGCCATTTTCCTTTTTTATTGTGGTAAAATATACATGGCATAAAATTTTCCACTTTAACTCATTCTATGAGGCTGGTATTACCCTAATACCAAAAGCAGAGCAAGACATTATAAGAAAACTAAAGATGTCTCTCTCATGAATATAGATGCAAAAATGCTCAAAAAATATTTACAAATCAAATCCAACAATGTATAAAAAGAATTATGCACCATGATCAAATGGGATTTATCTCAGGCATGCAAGACTGGTTCAACGTTTGAAAATCAATTAATGTAATCTAACACATCAACAGGCTAAAGAAGAAAAATTGCATGATTATGTTACTAGATGCAGAAAAAACAATTGACAAATTCAACACCCATTCATGATAAAAACTCTCACAGGAGAACTTACTTAACTCGCTAAAAGATGTCTTAAAAAAAAAACCCTATAACTAGCCCTGGATGAGTAGGTTAGTTGATTAGGATCAAACCTACACCAAGGGCACATACCAATGAATGCATAAAAAATGGAACAAGTCACTGTTTCTCTCTCTCACCTTCCCTCTCTCTCCTCCCACCCCCCTAAAAATCAATTAAAAAGAAAAAGCAAAAAACCTATAGCTAGCGTCATAATTAATGGTGAGAAACTTGAAACTTTCCTGCTAGGTCAGTAACAAGGTAAAAATGTTTCTTCTCACCACTGCTTTTCAATATTGTACTGAACATTGAAGAGCAGGGGCTAACGCAATAAGATAGGAAAATCAAAGGTATACAGATTGGGAGAGAAGAAATGAATGGATAATGTGATTGTGTAGAAAATGCAAAAAAAATTCACACACACACACACACACACACACACACAAATCCAGTTTTGTATAGCGGTTAGATTGTTGGACTGGGAATGGATTCTGGTCAAGAGCATGTACCTCGTACCTCTGTTCCAGGTTTGATCACTGGCCCTGGTTGGGGCATGTGTGGGAGGCAATCAAGCAATGTGTCTCCTCTCTCACATCTCTTTCTCTCTCTCTCTCTCTCTCTCTCTCTCTCTCTCTCTCTCTCTCTCTCTCTCTCTCTCTCTCTCTTTTTCCCCCGCCTCTTTTCCACTCTCTCTAAAATCAATAGGGGGAAAAAATATTCTCAGGTGAAGATTAGACACCCACAGATGCTGACACCACACACACACACACACACACACACACACACACACCCCCGCTGCAGTGCTGGAGCAGCAGAGGATCAGCCCACTCCATTCCAGCCCTTCATCACCTGGTGTGGGTTCCAGACTACAAAGGCCCTCATCCTATTAGGACCCCGCACTTGGCAGAGGAGGAAACTGAGGCCCAGAGAGGGGGATTTGTCAGCCCAGTTTAGTGGCTGGAGATGGGGGTGGCTGGAGGCCACTGGAGTCTGCATCAGCTGTGTGACTTAGGGCAGGTCACCTCACCTCTCTGAGCTTCTATCCCCGTCTGCGAATGGGATGGCAGCAGGATCTGCCCTGCGGGGCCCCTGGGAGGGAGGTCCTGCCCCTAACATGATGGCTGCCCAGGAGGAGTGTGTCATTGTGCCATTGCTTATCTTAAGTGGTTCCGGATGCTCAGCACTTAGTCCAGAACCTCCCACCACACACGGAGATGGGACAGACCAAGGCCCTCAATGCCCTCACCCACGCCCTTCCCACGGAGGTGTCTGTGTCCTGGGTGGGCTCAAGCTCCCTGGAGGCCAGTCCCAGGAGGCAGCCCAGGCTGAGTATCCTTGGCTCAGGGTCTGGTGACTTGAGGACACCAGGGAAGGCACCCCCACGTCAAGGCATCAGCCAGGGTCTGGGCCCCCTGCTCCAGAGGGGAAGAGTGAGAACACGGCTCACCCCCTCTCACCCCCATGGTCACGGCTAAGAGAAGGAGGCCGGCTCCCTGGGTCAACAGCACCCACAGCCCTAGGGGATGTCCTGGCCCTGCCTCCGTTTCTGCCCCACCCAGACCAGGTGAGGCACTAGTCTTGGGTGCAAAATTTAAGGGGTGCAAAAACAACAACAACAACAAAAATAAAACCAGTAAAGAAGAGAAATACATTTTAATACAATATTAAAAAGGAAAAATCAATGCAAACAAATTTACCCTGAACAAAATGTCAACTCTTTCAATAAAACCAGAGTCTGCCCAGGCCCCTGTTCTCCAGCTCAGCCTCCCTTCTCTCCCTTTCCTCCTCACGGCCACTCTCTGGCCCCCACTCCCAGCGTGGGCTCAGGGACGCTCAGGTCCCCCACAGGACGCACTCGGCCCCTTACCTGCCCCACAGGCTCCTCGGGCTGCTCCTTGTGGGGACTCCGGCGCCGGGAGTCCCGCTGTGAGGCCCCGAGGTGGAGGACAGCAGGCCACAGGCGCCCGTGGCCAGGCCCAGCAGCAGCAGGGCCCAGTGCTGCCCGAAGCCAGGCCTCTGCCCCCTCATCATCTGCGCTCAGGGCCAGAGGTGCCTCTGGCTGGCCTGCTGGTGGGGAGGGTTAGGTTGGCAGGTGCCTCTGGCGCCTCTCGCTGACAGTGACGGTCCCGTGTGCCAGGGCCATGGCCCTGTCCTCTGCCTGGGCCTTTTCTGGTCCCTGCCCCCCGGGCCCCGCCCTTTCCAGGGCCCTGGCCGTTCGTTACTCCCGAGGGTCTCTCCCAGTGGGGCACCTGCCAACTGCCGTGCTGCGGTCAGGATCCAGGATTCAACCGCCTCCCGCCACAGCTGCCAGCCTGGCCGGGCCCCTGGGGGACCTCGCGTGGGGCACACCTGCTCCTGCCCAGGCCCTGCAGGAAGTCAGTAATGGAATAAACAGGCCAGGGGAATCTTTCCCAAGGAGTGAGATTTGAGGTAACTGTGGGACCCCGAGTCCATGCAGCCAGCTGGAGGTCACTGACTGACAAGGGACAGCGAGGACACACCCTGAGCAAAGGTTTGGAGGCAACCAAGAGAAGCAAGGGTCGGATCAATTGTGGGGGCTTCACAGGACACAGACAGCGAGGGGGGCGCACTAGCCATGGGATTGGGCACAGAGCGGGGCCGCCTCCAAAGGCTGTGTCATGATAAGGAGTCTGAATTTTCTTCCTCATCCTGTACGGTCCTGTCCCAAGCCATAGGCAGCTGTCACTCCCTAGGGACATGGCTGGGTTTTTAAAACTATAAAATACATGCTGGGTTTTTTAAACTATATTTTGTTGATTTTTTACAGAGAGGAAGAGAGAGGGATAGAGAGTTAGAAACATCGATCAGCTGCCTCCTGCACACACCCCACTGGGGACGTGCCCACAACCAAGGTACCTGCCCTTGACCGGAATCGAACCTGGGACCCTTCAGTCCGCAGGCCGACGCTCTATTCACTGAGCCAAACTGGTTTCGGCTATCATTTTATTTTTTTCTTATAACTAATTTTATATTGATTGCATGGTGAAATGACAGTATCTGGGATATATTGGGGTAAAACTAATTTCACCTGTTTCCTTTTTTAAAAAAAATGTAGTCAGCAGAAAATTGGAAATAACAGAAATGGCTTGCATACATACTTTTGAGATCAGGAGACAAGCTTAGAGAGAAGTGCAGGCAAGGCTGGATCTGGGACTAATGAGGGGATTGGACAAGGGAGAGGGCCAGGTCTGGTGACTGATGAAGAAGGAATAATGCACTATTTCATTGAGTGTCCATTATAGTTAAGGCCAGGTAAGCACTTTATATAAATTAATGGGTGTTATTATTATTCTCCTTACATACAATGTTGGAAAAGCCAGCCTAGATTTCAACTGACCCTGGCAAGGCTGCCCTCTGGCAAAGACTCACACTCTGCCTAGCCCGAGGCCTGAGGCCAGGGTCTCCCCGCAGGAATCCGGTGGGGCAGGGGCCTTAGATGATGGGGGAGCCCAGTGCAACCCTGGTTCTCCGGGTTTATTGTCGCAGCACGGAATGCCGGAATCATGAAGGATGAACGCAGTAGGGCAGGTTAAAGGGAGAGACGGGGTCTTTTGAGACCACCTGCCTGGCCTTTAACAACATGAGCCTGCCCTGGCTGGTTGGCTCAGTGGTTGGAGCGTAGTCCCATACACCGAAAGGTTGTGAGTTAGATTCAGGTCAGAGCACATACCTAGGTTGAGGTTTGATCTCTGCTCAGGGCACGTATGGGAGGCAACCGATCCATGTTTCTCTCTCTGTGTCTCCCTTCCTTTCTCTCTAAAAATCAACAAAAACATAGTCTAGCATCTTTCTCTATGTAGCATGCCCTCACCTTTCCTCATCTCCCTTTTCACAATCTTTTTTTCCCAGGGCATGCCTCTCTCTCTCTCTCTCTCTCTCTCTCTCTCTCTCTCTCTCTCTCTCTCTCCTGCAATCCAAGGGCCCTTCTTTTGCTATAACTTGTTTCTGAGCCCATTGCTTCTACAACTCACTTCCACCTCTGTGACTTTCTAAATAAAAAAACACCCCCCAAAACAAAAACTTGAGCCTGGAGTCTCCTCTTCAGGAACAAAGAAAGGCTGGTGCAGAAAGAACTCTGTGTATTTGAGGAGGTGAGCGTTCAAAGGGCACCTCAAATAGGCTATGAGCTGAGGGCATTGTTTTACAAAAGAGACTCGGGCACATGTGCTTGCTTTCTGGGGGGACCACCGCCCCGGGTTATTTTATAAATATATTTTTATTGATTTTTTTACAGAGAGGAATGGAGATAGAGAGGGATAGAAACATCAATGAGAGAGAAATGTTGATTCAGCTCCCCTCTACACACTCCCCACTGGGGATGTGCCCGTGACCAAGGTACACGCCCTTGACCGGAATCGAACTTGGAACCCTTCAGTCCCCAAGCCGACGCTCTATCCACTGAGCCAAACCATCAGGGCACCCCCTGGGTCGTTTTAGCCATGATAAGGGGATGTTCTCAGCCAAGTTTGGGGGCACAGGGGAGAAGGTTTGCCTGGCACCTCTCTGTGCACAGTGTGTGACCCACCACCCAGGGCTCAGGGTGCTGCGCTGTGGGTCAGGGTCGCAGGAACTCACTTGATCCCTCGTCCCCCAACAAGCTAATTGGGGAGGCCGTGCCCTTCCTGCCGCTGGGTTCCTCGTTGGGTGCAGAGGGTTAGTATCCCTGGCATCCTCAGGCAGGAGGATTGAGGGTGACCCCGATCACCACACCTGGAGGCAGGAACTGGGGTGCTTCTCTGGAGCAGAGGTTGGCCAACGGCGGCCCAAGCGCCACGTCGGCCCAGCCCGGCTGCTCCTATGAATGAAATCGAATAGGAAAGGCCGAGCGCATTTGTTGGCGGATTGTCTGTGGCTGCTTTCCTGCTGCAGGGACAGAATGCAGCAGCCGAGAGGAGGTATCCTCGGTGGCCCGGAAAACCACGATGATTTACCACCTGGCCCTTTACAGGAACTGCCATGGCCAGCCCCGCTGTTCTCCTGCCCGGGAGAGTAAATGCATTTCTCTCACCCTGACCAGCGGTTCTCGGCTGGGGTGATTTTGCCACCCTGGGGACATCTGGCAACGCCTGGACACATGTTTGTTGTCATAAGTAGGGGCGTGAAGGCGCAGCGGCCGGCGCTGAGTGGGCAGAGGCCAGGGATGCGGCTCCACTTCCTACAGGGCGGCCCCCAACAAAGGGCTGTCTGGCCCCAAAGTCAATGGCACTGCCGTGGAGCCCCCGCTCTGGACCCATCACTCAGCATCCACTCTCCCCAGAGGCCCAGGGAAGGCACCTCTAAGCTGGCTGACCCGGTAACTTCTGCGAATAACCAGGTGACAGGAGAGGGCCCTGTCCTTGGTCAGAGAGTCTCTCCCCTCCACCCCAAAGGTGCCATGTCAGCTCCCTGCCCCCATCACCCACAGGGGTCTGTCTCTTGGTACCTTCGTTAGTTCTTGGATGCGTCCTACCCATTTTGACCTGACACAGAGCCGCTGGGACCACCTTAGTGTAACTCCGCACACCAGTCAGACCAAACAACTTCCCGAGACACCAGCAGCTTTAATCCCCCAACCCAGCCTCCAGCAGGGCCCAGCTGGACAAGGAGCGACTCCCTTGCTCTGCACAACCCATGACCCACCCTCCCGCTCGCCCTCTCTGTTGGGGATGCAACGCCCTTCTGTCTTCAGTTCCCGGCGAGTGTGCCCGGGGGCGCCTGGGACACGGAAGCAGCAGGCTCCTTTTCTTCCTCGTTCTCCGTCTCCATCTTCTCCCTCTCCCATCTCTGGGCACCCACCGCACAGTAGTACACAGCCTCGTCCTCAGGCTGCAGCTCGGAGATGCTCAAGTACCCCGTGTTCTCGGCCTCGTCTTTGGATCCAGAGAAGCGTGGAGGGACCTTGGGGCCCTGTTTCTTGTCCGCATGGGAGAAATATCTCAGCAAGAATCTGGGAGAGTGGCCGGGCCTCTGCTGGTACCAGTAGATGCTATAAATGCTGACATCGTGGTCCCTGCTCAACGTGCAGGCCAGACGGATGGTGGTTCCAACGTAGGAGGACACGGACGGTGGCTGATCCAGCACTGGCTGAGGGCCACAACCTGGGGACCGAGAAGAACATGGACACCCGGGGCAGGGCAGGGCAGCGCAAGGGAAGGGGCCCGCGGCTGTGAGCTCTGGGGAGTTCTCACCTGTGAGGTAGGCGAGGAGCGCCAGCAGGACAGGAGCCCAGGACATGCTGCAGACGTGCCGAGCTCTGCCTCCTGAATTGTGCAACTTCCACTCCTGGGGCTCTCTGGGGTCCTGGGCAGCATCCTCCTCCACCCTCCCAGGGGTGGGGCCATTGCACACCCAGTTCCAGCCACCAGCATCCCAGACTTTCTTGGGTTTGCAGCATCAGTTAGGGGAATGGTCCCATGGCGGCCTTTGTGGCTATCGCCTTGTCCTCATACAAGCATTCAGGGAGGAAACACCTGCTGGGAGCTCACACTCCAGTGCCCAGCAGGCCAGCCTGCCAGCTTGGGTCTCTGAGGGAGACTGATCTCAGCGTCCCCTCGAGAAAGCCGGGCCCCACAGAAACAAGATTCTCTTGTCCAAAGTTACATGCCCGGAAGAGGACACATCCTGAAGGTGGTGAAACACCTGCTCTGAGCAACAGAAAATGTTGGGCCCAGATGGTGAGTGAGACACTGTTTCTGAGCACTCGCTACCCACAAACCTAGAGCAACTCTTCCCTCACCACGGTCCAACCCAGGCCTTGCCCCAGCCCTGCTGACCGCTCCTCTCCACCACAGTCAGCCTCAGGGTCCACTGGAGGGCTGACCCGCTGTTCCCAGGGAGGCCTGTGTGGAGGGCTCAGCCGCAGGGCTCTCGGGGCAGAGAGCCCTGGCAGAGCTGAGAACACTCCTGAGACGCTCAGGCTTCCTCCTGCCATGCAGAACGAACTCCCACGCTGGGTTAAATGAGCGGTGGGGTTCTGGTTTTGCTTCTCTGCCAACTGATTGCACTACTTACCGTAGTTCCAACCTAAG